TGGGAGGTTACTATTGCTAGTAGTTACAGGTCAGAGATGCTGCAAAACATCCTACAATACACAAGACAGCTTCCCATAATAAAGAACAATCCAGCCCAACATGCCAATAGTGCTGACAATGAAAAATCCCATTCGAGTGTATTTTCTTTACTTCTTTGGACTCTAGTTTCCATTTGAGCAGACTTGTTTAAAAAAAAGAAGAAGATAAACCACAACAGGTCAAGGATCAATGAGAGAGAGAGAAACAGAGAGACACAGAGACACAGAGAGAGACATAAAGATAAAGGTTGGGGATAACTAAATCTCCAGGTGACATACAAGTCTTCCCAAGTATGATTTCCCTTCTCTCCCAGGGCAGGTAGATAATGCTGACTGACCTCTTTTACTTTATTTTCCAGTGACTCGTTCTCAAGCAGGTATACTAACTAGCAAAACCTTAGATGGGCTGATGCTGCCTTTCTAATAATGTGAAAGGAAAGAGAAAGTATCTCTGTGCTATTCATATGTGCTCATGGGGCTGCCTAAGCTTGTTTATCATGAAGTTAAAAAAATAAGTCAGATGAAAAGGTCTAAAGGACTTTTTTGTTCTGGTTTCATAGAAGGCTGTCTAGCACTCCCAGATAGAAACTGTATGGAGTCTGTGGTCCAGAGCTCTGCTCAGACTGAATTAGAAGCCATAATAGTCCTAGGAAGCCTGCCATTGCATCTACATGCCACCAGCCCAGCCACAACCGGCTTGGATACTTCAAATGTACCATTGGGTGATATGAACCAATTGCAAGAAACCCACAGACCCTAAAGAGGTTTCCATTTTTCCTTTTGTGGGATTGGGATTTGAACTTGTTAACTCAATGCTAGGCAGGTGCTCTACTATTTAAGCCAGTTCACCAGTTCTTTTTTGTGTTGGGTATTTTTGGCACAGGGTCTCATGAACTATTTGCCTGGGCTGGCCTCAAATTGTGATCCACCTGATCTCTGCCTCCCCAGTAGCTAGGATTATAGGCATAAGCCACCAGCACCCAGCTCCATTGTTCCTTCTTGTCAATGAAAGGTAGAATATGAAGTTTAAAGCCTGGCTTGAATCATATGCATAAAACACAAGTGAATGAAGGCACATGCAGGTTTCTTGATTCTGCTCACCAATATGATGCCAAAACTGCTGCATCCTTTTTGCCTGAAAGGTCAGCATGTTTCTTGTGGGGAAACAGGTGCGATGGAGAGGCAGAGTTAAGACTTGGAATGATCTCAATTTTTTTTTCTTTTGTAGGGCTGGGGTATGAACTCAGGGCTTCACACTTGCAAAGCAAGTGCTCTACCACTTGGGCCACACTTCCAGTTCATTTTGCTCTGCTAATTTCTTGGAAATGGGGTCTTGTGAACTATTCACCTCGGGCTGGCCTTGAGCTGTGATCCTCCCAATCTCAGCCTCCCAAGTAGCTAGGATTATAGGCATGAGTCACTGGTGCCTGGTGAATGATTTCAATTCTTGACAAGTAAAAAGTAAAAATCTACATAGGGAATTTCAAAATTAGAAGAGCATCTTGTTATTATCAGATTTAATAGATTTTTTTTCCCCTACCCTTCCCAGGAAGGTCACGCGAGGGGAATCATTTGGCTCAAATTTCCAAGGATATAAAGTCTCCTCCTTTCTTATTTACTCCTCTTAGGCACATACAATTCCTTTTCCTCAATAATAAGATGCGCTCATTCAGGAAAAGGAATTTCCTAAAGAGATTAGTCAAAGTCTTTTCCTCCTAGTTTTCTGAAAATATGCTTAATCCTCTCATTACGATTTCTGGAGAGGCTTCTTCAGAAGCCTGTTTTTACTTCAAACAGAGAGGGAACTAGTAAAGCCCTAACTCAAGAAGGCTGAGGTCTTTGCCTTCTTGAATTAGGGCTTTACTAGGATACAAATGGAACTGCCATTTGTATCTGGAAGGTCCTCACTTGCTGGCCAGACTCTCTAAATTATTCCAAGGCAACAAGGGAAAGCCTTTCCTAGGAATGATGGTTTAGTTTTTCCATGTTTGTGGTAATAATTTTCCTCACAGACTAACTGCAGCTCCATGGACTTATCAGCACTACTGCACAGTCCAAACTAAGCCTGGAGATTCTCCACAGATGTAACTGATCTATCTATTGTGTCTATTGTGCCAGGTCAAAGCAGAGCCTGAGCTTCTGTCTCACAAATTCATACCTTCTTCTTCACACAGATTCTGTGCTGAGTACGATTCCATTAAAATAGAAAACAGCTGAAAACTTAAAGCTGATGCTATTTTTTAAAAAATACTTATCTTCACGTATTTATTCTTATTAAAAAATAATTTCAATCTGAAAGTAGAGTCATACTTTATGCTGGTGTAAAGAAAGATTAGTCTACTCCCAGACACAGCACATGAATCCAGGAACTCAGCACTCACATCATGAAAATGAGTCAGTTCTCAGAATGGGTCCAAAAAAGACCTTTTAAAGCAGCCTCTAGGGTCGTGTTCCCCTCCCCGGTTTTCATTTCCCATGAGCTCAGGAAGCACTCAGCAGCCAGGAGCTGCTCCTACCCTCTAGACCAAAGACCTTTGCTGGAAGGAGGCAAAAACTTTCCAAAGCTTTTGATTTCCCTACTAGGTAGACTAGTAGAACAGGACTTCTGATATGCATCCCCAAGTTGAGGGGTATACTGATTATTTGATAGTAACTACTGACTTAATGGCAGGTCATAATAGGGCAGTTCTTCATGCTTCTCTCTTCCCACTCTTGATTCATCCTTGCCTTGTCAATAACTAAACACACTGCTAGGGCCTAGCTGATGGGCTGGTCCCAGCTTTCACTTCCACCATGTTTGTGGCAGAAAGTTTACTCTTAGAAACCAATGGAACTAGTTGGCTATAAGAAACGGCTAAGAAGATAATGGGCTGTGAGCACTGTGAGGCAATATGCTACACACGAAGTACAGGAATGTTCAGTAATTTCTTGAAATCTTCAAGCAACATCAAAATTCAGAATGCCTCTAGAAACCATGGAAAAGATGACTTCCCATCAAACCCAAGCACTGTTTATGTCTATGTACTCTTGTAATTTAGCTCCTATTTATGCAATTTTTTTTGAGACAGGGTTGGGTCTCACTATGTAGCCTAGGCTGGCCTCAAACTCTACATCCTTCTGCTTTAGCCATCCAAGTGCTGAGATTACAGGCATGTACTACCATGCCTGGCTTTTAACAGGCTTGTTTTTTTTTTTAATAGCTCACTGAAGATTAGAAGGGAGAAGTAGACTGCAGTGAAAAGTGACAGCAGTAATACACTTGGTATCCTTTGGGGATTGGTTCTAGTACCCCCTGGTTATAAAGATCTATGCATGTTCAGTATACTCTTTAATGTTAACCTGCTCTCATTAAGAAAAACTTACAATACAGTGTTAAGAAAATTAGGCAAATAAAATTTAAATTAGATCTTATACAAGCTAGAATCTGGTTAGATAAAAGTATTTTGGAGCCCACAGGGATAAACTTCAGCTTTCTAAGTAACTTGGACCCAGGTAAACTGGAAAATGAACAGACACCTGCAGAAGTCTCTGCTCCAACAGAAGAACAAAAAACATGCAATGTGAAACAGGGAAGATGACAGTGCCACCACAACAGAGGCATGGTTGTTTTGAAGAAGAATATACGTCAGCTCGTGGGTATGAAGTTTCTCTGCTTTACCCTTTCTTTAGCTGGGTGGCTCAAGAAATCCAGATATGATGACTTTTACAACTCCACATTATACTATCTCCAAGTGTGGTAAGGGGCCCTTAGCCAATATCCCACTTTAATGATGAATGTCCCTTAAGCTTCTTAAAGCAACTCTTCTGAAATAGTCACCTTTCTGCACTTGGGTCTTGTTTTCAAAGCTGTAACCTTTCTAGGGACCCCATGGCTGTGACCTGGTATCAATGACACCCCCACCTCTTTTTTGAGACAGGGCCGCCTATGTAGCCTGGGCTGACCTCAAACTCTTGATCCTGCTGCTTTAGTCTCCCAAGTGCTGGGATTACAGGGGTGAACCACCACATCTGGCTTCTATCCAAGTTTTTAAGAGAAAGAATTCTGATAGGCAGGGGCTCTAAGAGAATAAATTTTATTCTGATGGCTGGAGCATTACCTGTGTAAGTGGCAATAATTAATGTTAGTGATGAAAATAAAGTGCTAGTATTACCTTTTCCAAGTCTATTCCATGAATTGTGAAGGACACACTGGCAGAGTAAGAACTTATAGGTGTTTATAACAAAGGAAACTCTTAAGCAAAAGGGTCATATAGTGAGAGCCGATAACCAGCAGACAAGCCCCTGAACAGTAAATCACACTTTGGGGTCCAGTCATTGAATCATCCTTATTGTCTTAATTTAGACTCACAGAATCTCAGGATTGGAAATTCTGACAGGTAAAATATTTTTGCAATTAAGGCAGAACTTCTCAAATTCTCTTATAGGCAAAGAACTTGTTATTCTGGAGGAGTCTGGGTACATTCATAAGCTGCTTGTTGTTAAGTAGAAAATTTCTTTAAAGTGTCCTGCTTCATTTAATAATTCATGATAATTTTACATTTCATTCTATAATACATCCATAATTTTCCCCTGAAAACTGTGTGAAATCAATACTTTAGGAGATGAACCTGTGTCCATCTTAGGACTTCTCATAGCTTTATCTGAAAAACAGGGCCCTGAAAACACCTTCACTGCAGTTATCAAATAATTTAGTTTAAAATCTCAGGAAATCACAGGAGGAGATTTCTCAGTGTAAGAGACAAGGCTTAGACATTTTTTCTATAGCCTTAATTGGTTATAAAAACTGAAACAAACCACAAAAGAAAAATGTTTAAACCCATCTTCTCAGATGTCCAAGAGACTGTTTAGTCTCTGAACTGTGCTTTGGTGGTGATGAAAATGAGAATAAGGAAACCAGGAACAGAGTGACAATGTACACTCAATTGGTATCTAAGTTACAAACAAAGAACTACACATACTAGTTAGAAAAAAAAAAAAAAAAAAGCAACACTTACTTTAAAATCTGCTAATTGTTGGTTGATGACATCCACTTCAGTTCCCACTACCCACTGGAGTGCTTCTCCCTCCTCTGCAGCTGTGGTCTCATCATTGAGTATTTTCAATTTCCTATAAAAGTCCTCTACACGACTCAATGTTAGCTCGAGCTGCTCCCGGCGAGCTTTCCCCCTCTCTGTCAGTTTGCTGCACTGTTTGCTCAGGGCTTCTAGCTCCCTCTTGAGACCTAACAAGTCTAGAGTCCCCTCTTCTTCTAGCATTTGTCGGCACTCTGCTTCAGAGACCTCTATGTCAAACTTGAGGGCTTGAATCTTGTTAAGGAACAGCCGTACATCCTCTATTTGTGACTGGAGGCTATCTGTGTCTCTGCCGATAGCACCCATGCCATCTAGCTCATCGTCCAGATCTGCCAGTTGGGAAAACATCTCTCGGACTCGGCAGTGAAACTGGCCAATTCCCTCCAGCTTGTTTTCCATTGTCATACAACCACTGTTCACTCTTTGCTTTACTTCTAAGAACTCTTGCTGGGTGACCTCAGCTTGATGTAGAAGTTGGGAAGCATCCGATCCATCTGGGGCATCTTCTACCAGCCCTTGTGTGAAGTTCCTCAGATAGTCCACCTGAGGCTCCAGTGCCTGCAGCACTTCCTGCTGAGCTCTCAGCTTCTCCAGGTTCTTATTGCTACAAGCTTGAGAGCCCAGAGCATCAAAGATTTCAAGTTGATGTTTGGCTCCTTCAACCTTCTTTTCAATGCTCTTAAAGCTTTCTTGGAACTCCTTGAGCCTCTGAGTCATTTCTTCTAATGACCCTGTTTTGGTCTGTAGCTCCTCTGTAATGGCATCCATGTTCTGATTTATTTCAGCCTTCTCATCCCGAATATCATCTTCATCTGTTTCTGAAGAATTGATCAGAATGTCAGCAGCACTATTCAGTATTTCCAGCAGGGAGCGGCGCTTCTCTACCTCACTCAGCATAGCTTTTGACCTCAGAAGACTAGACTCCAGCTGTAGTGGATCCAGAGTGATCCGCAATGCAGACATCTTGGCCTTACAATCTTCTATCCAAGGCACAATGTCTTCCACATGCCACTGATATTTCTGAGCTTTCTGCACACAGTCTTTCAGCCTGGATTGTCTGTCTGCAGTTTTTTTACTAAGCTCTTCCCAGTGGCTTTTGAGTTCAACCAACTGGTTTTGTAAAGTTCTTTTCTCTTCTCCAGGAGGCACAGAAAGCAGCAGAGATTCCCCCTCGGCCACAATCACCTCATAGGAACCACTGTGTTGATTAAGGTTCTTTTGAAACTCTTCATTCTCTTGTAGCTGAGACTGTAATCGCTCCAATTTTGCAGAAATTGGGCAGTTTTTTGCTTGCTGGCTTTGTTTGTCAGCCAACCAGGCCCTCAGCTCATCAAACATTTGCTGGAACTGCTGGGTACTGGCAAGAGCTGCCTGGAGTCTATTCATGCGATCGGCTGAAATGAGAAAATGAAATAGAAATTAGTCAAGCCTGAGTATGGCATTTAAAATGTTTGCTGAAAAACCCTTGTTCCTTCCTATTATATACTCTCTTCCTATTATACTCTCTCTTCAACAAAATTAGAGATAAGGGCAAAATAATTTCTGCTGGGTATCGGAGTGGAGGGGAGAGGGATGGGGCGGGGTGGGTGGTAAGGGAGGGGGTGGGGGCAGGGGGGAGAAATGACCCAAGCATTGTATGCACATATGAATAATAAAAAATAAATAAATAAATAAAATGTTTGCTGAGCGTATATGGGCTAATCATAGGAGAAGGAAACAAACATTGATAATTTACCATAAAAGTGGCGCATAACTAGGTTCCTACACACACACTATATATTATTTAATACCATATCAACCTTGTGGGTGACTTGAGATTTTTCAGCAGAAGTCCAGAATATATTCTAACTTTGCATAGATGCAGAGTGTATGCGTGGACATGCCCAAGGTATAAAGTAAATAAGTGCTATCAGTAAACGTGTTTGTAGCTCCATCCATTAGCATATCTGTGGGTATGAGTGTCTCTACTTGTTGGCTGATTTTGTGTTAGAACTTTGACTGTGCTTTGTGAAGCTCCACATTCCACCAATGCTCACTGTGTAATAACCACAGCAGATCTCACTGTTATTGGAAGAAGGGATAAGGTAACACTATTCTGAGTTTAAAAGTTACTTAAAGGTCATCCTAGATTCTTTTTTTTTTTTTTTGCAGTACTGGAGGCTTGAACTCAGGGCTGTCACCTTGAGCCACTCCACCAGCCCTTTTTTGTGAAGGGTTTTTTTGAGGTAGGGTCTTGTGAACTGTTTGCCCAGGCTGGCTTCGAACTGCGAGCCTCCAGATCTCTACCTCCTGAGTAGCAATAATTACAGGCATGAGCCACTGGCGCCCGGCTCATCCTAGATTCTTGTGACTGCTGCCAAGTCATTCTTTCTTTCTGCTTGCCATTCTCACTCTAACTCACCTGCAAGGTCTTCTAAACCTTGGAGTGGCAGGGCAACTGTCTCCAAACGCTTCTTCAGTTCATCCTTGAGGTATGGCTCACCAATAAGCAGTGAGAGTTCATCGCACAGTGTCTGGGCCTCCTTCATCTTGTTGTCCAATTGCTCCAAGTCAGATCGAATCTCACTAGTCTCTTCCAGTTGCTGCTTTACAGCCTCAGGTTGGGTGCTGATGGCTGACTGGCCACTCAGTCTCTGTCCAACTGCCTTCACCTTCTCTGATAAGTCCTGGAGTAATTCTTGGTACTGGGTACTTTTGACAAGTGCTTGGTCAATTTGGCTGGAACGGGAACTAAGTTTGTCAGTCAGCTCAACCCATTTCTGATTGATGCTCTTGAGTTCTTTCTGTACTTGGCTGGTGGATGGAGAAATATCTCCAGGGCCTGTTAGGATGCCCTGAGCTGCTTTGTTCAGCTGTTCGTGCTGTTGCCTGCGTGCTTCAAATTCCTTCAGCATAAACTGAAACAGAAACAACATCAAGAAATTTAGACAGAGAAAACAGATTTAAAAGTAGTGTCAAAACAAAAACTGATTTTGGATTGTGCCAACCCCTTTAGAACATAAGCCAAAAAAATTCCAGGGACCATGTTACTAGAACAAGGCAGTATTACTTTTAGTAAATGCTTAATAAAAAATTGTTTTGAAAGAATAATTGATTGTATCTATTTTACCTTTTTTTCTTTATTTTTCCTATTCTGTTTTAGTATCAATTACTAAGGTCAACTTGGACTAGGAAATTGGATTGGCATTCATCGGCTTTGCCATGGAAGACCAGGCCTCTGAATTGGGAATCTGGAATAGGGAGGCACAGAGTGAGCTGTATTACTAGCTGGGCTGGTCATTTCAACTCTCAATGCTCCTGTTTTTCTTGGTTGCTTTACTAGACTTCTAATAGTGCATACGATCTGTACATTACAATATAGCACAATTAGATAAGGAACTTTTTTAAAGCAAGGACTGTGGCTTTTAATTTATTTTCTGTCTCCAGCTGCTCTTATCAAAGAAGTTAGCATTAAGCATTACAGGCTCTGGTACGGGAGTACCTACATTCAAATTCTGGCTCTATCACATAATTTAGGCAAGTTTTTAAAAGTCCTTCAAACCTTAGCTTTCTTATCTGGATAAGAAATGAGGATAGTTAAGTACTTATAGTTAAGTACTTATCTGGATATGAGGATAGTTATCTGGAAGTACTTATCTGGAAATGAGGATAGTTAAGTACTTATAGTTAAGTACTTATCTGGATAAGAAATGAGGATAGTTAAGTACTTATCTTGGCTGTTATAAGGGTTAAATGAGATGATTTAAAGTACTTGGCATGTATACTATCCAAAAATAAATAAGACATGATTTCAAGAAATAACAGTAGAATGAAATAATTGTAAAGAAGAAACTATAATAAAAGTAAAAATAATAAAATACTGACATGAACATGGACCATGTTACTGTGAAAACATGGAGTAATTATAATTAAGTTTGTTGGGGATAACAAAAGAAAGAAGAAGGAAATCAGGAAAGCTGCCCCAGAGGTGACAAAAAAAGACTGAATAGGAATTTTTCAAGTAGAGCTGGGAGTAGGGCAGGAGGGCCTAGGATTAGCTAAGACACAGAGCTGCTGGGTGTGTGAGGGAAGAACTGGAAATGAGGCTGGGAAAACAAGCTGGGACCAGACTATGAAAGGCCTTCTTCATCACACTGAGAAGGTACTTGGACTTTGTTCAGTAGGCAGGCGAGAGCCACTGAAAATTTTAATATACTCAGATATGTGATTTAGGGATATAATTTGGTAACTATGTGTGGGGAACAGCCCATTAGGAGGCTATTCTGGTGCTATAGTTCAGAGATCAAGACTTCAGATAGAATGGAGGAGGATGGAGGATTATGTATGTAACAATAATTTTCAAGTATGGTTCAGGGATTCATGCAGTGCCTCCTTGAAAGAAGAGTCCAGGAGCTCAAAGCTATGTTCAGGGCTGGGTGCCATGGCTCAAGTCTGTAATCCTAGCTACTAGGGGGATGGAGATCAGGGTTGGAAGCCAGCCCAAGCAAAAAAAAAAAAAGTTTGTGAGACTCCCATCTCAACCAATGGCTGGGCACGGTGTTGTGTGCCTGTCATTCCAGCTATGTGGGAAGTACAAATAGGAGGATTGTAGTCCAAGCTGGCCTGTGCATAAATATAGGCCCAATCTCAAAAATAATCAATGCAGAAAGGGCTAGCAGAGTGGCTCAAGTGGCGGAACGCCTGCCTAGCAAGCGTGAGGACTTGAATTCAACTCCCAGTTCCACCAAAACAACAACCCCCACCCCCAAATTCTACTTTCATAAAAATACAAATCTGCCTTTAAAATTTCTTCTTCTCTTATGAATGTTCAATGGAGTTTTCCAGAGATTACCTCACTTCTAATATTGCAACAGACTGAACATATTACTTAGGTTAATGTGATAGTTTTATCACTGTTACTTTAAAATTAACGAATACATTTTTAAAATTACTATTTTAATACTGCAAGTATCCATATATATCAATTGATAAACAGAATCTCTTTAAGATACTCAGTAATTTTAAGAGTATAAAAAGGTTTTGAGACCAAAAAAATTGAAAATCACAAGAAAAATGTTTGTAAGTAAATTACAGCTCAGTAATTATTTGAATGGAGGTCTTATGTTAAGGAACCTGGTGGAAGAGAAGAAGAAATCAAATAGGCATGGGCGGGGGGGGGGGGAGTAGAATAAGGAAAAGATTCCAGGAATGGTTTCATTGGAAATGATACAGTTTTGACCTCCATAAATTTCTATGATGTGAGGTACTTAAATCAACTTTTTTTGAGATTTGACCAACAGAAAAACTTCAAGTAAAGCTAGCAGATACAAGATATTATGTTAAATAATATGGATCACTACCACTGGGGATTAAAAATAAAATGATTCTATAATTTAATCAGAAAAATTTTATCATTCTCATATCCACTCATCTTACTGCCTCTGTTAATGATATTAATAATACAGTCATTGACTGTTTACTCTTTGACAACAATCATGGTAAACACCTTAAAAACATCTAACTAAAAGTGAGGGGACTGGTGGATTGGCTCACATAGTAGAACGCCTGCCTAGGTAAGCACAAAGCCCTGCCTGAGTTCAAACCCCAGTACCACCAAAAATAAGTAAATAAATAAAACTGAGGAAAGTGAACTTTGTCCAGGGGTATATGAAGCCTACTTGATAGAAGCATCATCCAAACCCAGATTTACATGACTCTAATTTCTTTGCTCTAAAGCATTAAGCTATATTGCTCACCTGGACCTGCTGCTTCTGTGCATTCAACATGTTGGGGTCAATAGACAGGGGCCCAAGAACTCCCATCATCAGTTCCTTCTCCATTAGCCAGGGCCGGAGCTGGGATTCTGCAGCCTGGAAGCAGGCTAGATGGCTTGCAGATTCTTCTAGCTGCTTTTGCCGAGCCACAGTCACCTCGTTGGCCCTTTCCCATCGGGAATCTGTAGAAAGGATGGGAGGATGTAGGCCTTTACTCTCATCAGCAACTGGCCTAGTCCCTAAGTTGTGTTCCTAATATACAACAGGAAATGACCCGAGGGTCATTATTTAACATTTTTAATAATTAAAAATAGCCTTTAAAAGTTTTAACTGAAGTAATACAAGCAGTTTTGTATCATTATTGGGGTGCTGATTACATGAAACTATACATGTGATAAAAATGCACAGAATCCCACGCACACACAGAGTGCAGGTAAACTACACAACATATATTATAGTTTGCTTACAATTTACTATATTATGAACACTTTCCATACCAACTAAGATTTTTTTCATGCTAATAAATACCCATCTACATTACTCACAGTTCAACATCATGAACACATAATTTATCTAATCCCTTTATTGAAGTAGATCTTCATTTTTATTCTCAATGCTCTCTTTAGATTTTGATCAGAGTAGACTGTCACAAACTGACTTGTCTTAGAAAGTCAGACTTCTAACTCTGTGTGGAATTTTTTACCTATTCAGGCTCACTCTGTGGCCCTATTTGGATGGGCCTCTTGCTTGCTTAAAGCCAGACATGGTGTTTCATGTCTATAATCCCAGCTACTTGAGAGGAGGAGGCAGGAGGATCATGAGTTTGCAGCCAGCTAGGGCAAAAAGTTTAAGATTTGTCTCAAAAACAAAATGAAAACAAAAGGGCTGGGGGTATAGCTCAAGTGGTAGAGCACTTGCCTAGCATGCACAGCCCTGGGTTCAGTCTCTGGTACAGAGGGGAAAAAAAACCAAAACCAAAACCAAAAAAACAAACAAAACCTGAAAATAATTCCTATTTTGTGGGATGTGCTGAAATTCCCTATTTGCTTTGGAGGCAAGTGAATGTGAAAAATCCCTGTGACAACTTACTGAGCTCCTCCTGCATTTTCTTCCAGTTTTCTGCTTCTTGTGAGTTAGGGTATGTCATCAATAATCCAGCTAGGGCTTCTTTCACTTTTTGGATTTTTGGAGAGTTCTGTTCCAATTCAGTAAGGAAGGCCTAGGAGAAAGAATATCATCTTTACTATGAGATTATGGCAGGAAACAAAACTATGTGTGCAGTGGAAATGACTATAAGACTGGGTGGCAATTACAGGTTCTATTCTAATTCTATGCATGACTTGTTTTGTGATTTTAAGATATTTAACCTTTCTGCTTCAATATTTGCCTTAAAATGAAAATCTAGATGGCAGGATCTTATTTAAGTACAACACATCAATGGAACCTAGTAAGTAGAAATGATCACTTCCTATAAACTAAAGTGCCAAGATATGATGATGTTTTGGTAGCTATAGGAGATGATATGCTATGCTCTATCAGAATATTAAAAATAGAGAAAATTTCTTACAGGATTTTCTATGGTGTTACATCTTCTCACATTTTTCCTAGTCCCACATGTTAATCTTAAGAATGAATTCGCCAGGTGCCAGTGGCTCTTGCCTGTAATCCTAGCTGCTCAGGAGGCAGAGATCAGAAGGATCAAAGTTCAAAGCCAGGCTGGGCAAATAGTTCATGAGACCCTATGTCAAAAAAAACCCTTCACAAAAAAGGGCTGGTGGAATGGCTCAAGGTGTGGCCCTGAGTTCAAATCCCAGTACCCTCCACGAGTTGGAAAGATGCCATGATGAGAAAAGCATGGCTATCCTCTAGCAGCACATGGAAAATTAGACCTCACTCTCAATGACCTACTCCTTTCAGGAGGGCTATTCCTTTTCTGCAAACATATCTAGTTTTGTTTATGAATCTGATTTATAACAATTTCTAACTTCACAGGTAAGAAAACTGTCTAGGAGACTTAAGGTATATTAACACTTGGAAGTCAACCATCCTGTTCATTTCAGCCTGGAGAATTGTCCCTGGGCTGGATGCCAGGACATTTGTACAGAAATCCCTTCCTCTCAGTGTTGGGACACAGCTTATGTAAACACCGTACCTTGTTAGATTCAGCTTGGGCTTTCACTGTTTCTGTCTTGGTTGGAGACAGAGAGGCATCCATGGTTTTCAGAACTTCCTCTTTTGATTCTAGCCACTGCAGCACTGAGCTTGCCTCCTTCTGAACTTCCTCCATTCTGCTGAGGATAGTCTGAAGGCTTTCCTGGTGTTCCCGAAGCACTCCCCCTAGTTTCTCATACTTCAGGTTTACATCTGACATGTCACACTGGATCTCCGTCAGATCTAGTATCAGAGAAACAGAAATCAGATTGGGAATGGCTCTCCCCTTGGTTTCTCACTCCTAAATTACTCAACAGAATTAAGTATCTCTAATACTCCTTCTAGACAACAAGATTTTCTCTTCCTCCCAAATCACATAAAAGTTCCTGTTGCAAAGCAAAAGAGCTCTCATTAATCTGCTTTCTGGTGTTGACATTACATACTCAGATGTATACCTTAAAATGCTTAATAAATATGGGAACAACAAAAGTAAGGGAAGCAAAAAGAAGTTAACTTTAGCATACTGTTTGGATTAATGGACTCGAAACATTCTTCTGTTCCCTCTTCTCTAAATTACAGAAAAGTCACCTAGCTAGGAGATTGAAAGCTAGACTAGAATACCTCTAGAATAGCTTCTTTATATTTCAAAGCCTTACGTATATTGTCTTCAAGGTCTTTCCTTAGTGGCCTTATATGGTGACCTGGTCTATTTCCTCAGTACCTTTAGTTCTAGGGCTGCCAACCTGCTTACCCATAGCTAGCAAACAGAGAGGCATCACAATTGCTCCTCCCCAGATATTCACCTCACACCCCTTTAGGCAGCAGTTCTTCTACACATACTACAACACACAGAGATGCAAACATGAACACACCCAACAAAGAAGGCACTATTGAAATGGCATTCTCACCTTTGCAGGTGTGGTATCCGTTTACACTGCCTACAGAGCTTCCTACAGAGGGCAGAATGGAACCTGAGCAGAAGGACAGGGAGACAAACAGGGCAAGACCAACGTGTTAGGAATACATATAGGCACTGCATTTCTTCTTTGGTGCTCAATTTAAGCTTAGGTATTAGGAAGTTAAACACAACACAAGACAACATACTTATGGAAAGAGACAGATCATTTTAGCTGCCAGGCAACAAAGTGTCCCTTGAAGTGTTTTAGCTCTTTATCAGTAATGAGTCTTAATCCTTTCTAGAGGAAATTAAAATTTTAATTTTTTTTCCTTTTTTGGTGGCATTAAAGGTTGAACGCCGGACATCAAGTGTTATACTGCTTAAAGTATGCACCAGCTCTTCTTACATGTCTAACTTGAATACGTTGGACCCTTTCCTAATTTTGTGGAGCAAGTCCTGTTAAAATGATTAAGTCTGCTGCATTTGGAGGATTTATAGTAAAGCCAAAAAAATTTACTTTTAATATCACTGTCTTTCATTATAATAAAATGAACAGTAAGCACAATGAGAACATAAAAAGCAACATTCATTTAATTAAGAGTCCTTTTTACTTTTTTTGCTTTTTGGTAGAACTCAGGGCTTTGTGCTTTCAAAACAGGCACTCTACTGTTTGAGCCACACCTCTAGTCCAATTTGCTCTAATTATTTTGAAGATGGGGTTTTGTGAACTACTTGCCTGGGCTGGCCTGGAACCTCAATCCTCCTGATCTCAGCCTCCTAAGTAGCTAGGATTACAGGTGTGAGCCACCCACCCATGTCCAGTATGTTACATTGTTTTTACAAGAAGAGTCCTTGTTTTTCTTTTTGTGATCTCTTTTAGATCTTCCCTCACCAGAAAACAGAAATTTTAAGCACTGGTAAATGTGGCTTATAAATATTCCTGTAAATTCTGCTTTAGGCCTTTGGTTCTGTAATTACCACAATTTCACCTACATTCTCTCCAAGTTGATTCCTTCTAATTCAGGAGTTTCCCAAATTAAGCAAATACTAGGCCATGAAATTATAAAGATTATTGAAATCTGAGAAAAACGTATGATATAATGTTACATTAAAAGGATATAATAAAACTCTTCCATGCACCCACTGTATCATGCAAAAAGTCACTGGCACAATTAAATTAAAAATAGTTGCTAGGGTAGTAAACATTTAAAAGTAAACTTTTAAATGTTAACCTTCTTGTATTTTCAATTAGAAATCGTCAAACAGAAAAATTATTTTCCATTGCAATTTGGTGATGACAAAAAATATATTGAACTAGTAATTAGAAGATCCTAACCAAGACTATTGCTGACTCAGCATGTGAGCCTCAATCTATGGAAAGACCTCAATTTCTTCTCCAGGATGAGAAGATAATACTAACTCCTCTGTCAACTTGGGGTTACTGGAAAGAGGTCATGTACACGAAAGCACCTTATGAAACAAACAAAAATCCTACATGTGAAGAACTGGAATATTCAGTTTCAGCAGAGGTTTGAGACAATTCAGGACAGAGATTTTGAAAGCACTCAGAGATTTTGAAAGCTTTAGGGATTCTGTAAATGTTTAGCTTAAATTTAATATTCAGATAAATTTCTAACTACTTATAAATAGTAATAAGACATGTGTATTTAATTATGTTGTATGCCATATCTTAATCTACTATCTACAGCCAATTAGAGAATAAGCAGTTCCTGCTACTTTTGTGTATATATTTAAACTTTTTGATTGTCACTGATTATAGAGGTTATAGCTTTTTGCTAGAATTTTATAATATTAAAACCTGTATATGAACACTCCTCTATACAACTATACAAAGAAAAACAGCTACAAGTACATGTATAATACATTAAATAAAATTACAAAAAAGGTTAGGTATATTTACAAAAAAGATTGAGCAAACTCTCATCAGGGAAGAACTGTACAATAATAGAATTCTTAACACTTTAGGGTCATGAAAATGCCAGTTTATAGATACCCTTTGTTCTAAATGTCAGTTTTAGGTGTCTTCTATGTTTAAGAAAATAATGAATATCTTATTGAATATTCTTTGTGGTTTAATTGGAAGCAAAAGTTTCTTGTTACATCACTTTTAAGTTTCTAGTTCAGTTTAATTAAGCAGTATTATGAGATTGTAAAGCAAACTTTTTTTTTTAATAGTCCTGGTGATTGAACCTAGGGTGCTATACTTGCTAGCAAGTGTACTTAGAGAACTTTTAAAAACATTTGTAATCATTTGCAACTACTTGCCTCTGTGAACCATATTTTCTGGATGTAATACAAAACAAAATTTAAAAATAAATCATTTGGTGAAGTTGTCTTTCACTTATCCTCTTTTTCAAGTTTATATTTGTTTATATATTTGTCAAGATAGTCTCAATATTCTCACTGATAGATTTCATCAGAGATAAATTCTTTAATTTAGCTTATAAGGGAAATTTATGCCACCCAAATTTTTATTGATAGGGTTCTACATGAGATTCTTTTTTCTTTCTTTCTTTTTTTTTTTTTTTTGGTGGAATGGGGTTTGAACTCAGCGCTTTGTGCTTGCAAAGCAGGCGCTCTACCAGTTGAGCCAGACCATTTTGCTCTGGTTATTTTGGAGATGGGGATCTTGTGAACTACTTGCCTGGGCCAGCTTCAAACTGCGATCTTTCCTATATCTGCCTTCCAAGTAGCCAGGAATATAGGTATAAACCATATATATCAGACTCATTTTTTATAAAGATTCTATATTTGAGCCAGGCGCTGGTGGCTCACACCTGTAATCCTAGCTACTCAGGAGGCAGGGATGAAGAGGATTGCGGTTCGAAGCCAGCCTGGGCAAATAATTCATGAGATCCTATCTTGAAAATGCCTAACACAAAAAGGGCTGGTGGAGTGGCTTAAGGTGTAGGCCCTGAGTTTAAGCCCCGGTACCGCAAAAAAAAAAAAAAAAAGATTCTATAGTAATGTGTGCCTGGCATGCATGAGGCTCTTGGTTCATTCCCTAGTACCAAAACCCTCTAAGAAACTCCATAAATCAAAAAACAAAACAAAACAAAAAACCCAAAAACTACAGTGCTTAAAAGAAAAAGTATGAAAAATGATCTAGACCAGAAGCCACCTGGCCATGTAGCATATTGGCCATATCTGGCCTTTCATCTGTTTCTGTATATAAAGTTTTATTGGAACACAGCTGTACCCATTCATTTATATTATCTATGGCTGCTTTTGTATCATGATGGCAGAGGAACATAATTATTACAGAAAACCTATGGCCTGCAAGCCTAAAATATTTACTATCTGGCCCTTTAGAGAAAAAAAAGTATAGATGCCTGATCTAGTCACAGATAAATAATTCACTGAACTTAGAAGTTTATATATTAAAGTATAAGAATCACCAGTTCTGTGAAAATACTGTCACTTCTGGATAGTTCAAAGAAATCTTTAAACTTTAGACTACTGAAGAAAAGTAGCTGTTCTCATGAGGGGAAACAAAAGTAAACTTTTCCTTAAGTATTTAAGTGTTTATAGGAGTGCATTATTGTAATTTGATCCCAATTAACAATCAGCAAGTGACTGTGAGCTCATATTAGATTTTGCTTAAAAGGTTTAATTTATAGCTAAAGATTATACATACATCCAGGCCCCATCTTTGCACCTTGTTCAAAGAAGTGTACCTGTCTCTGATATATCAATACTGACACCCAAATACCTAGCTTTTCCTTGGATATCATATTCATATCCATCCAGGACTGATTCAATTTAAAAATAATGCATACTTATCCCATCCACACGTTCAAAAGAGAAAAAGTCCTCAAGATAAAAATCCTTCTTTAACTCTTCCATGTTCTTTAACAGTTCTAAGTGGGAATACTAGTCCATTTACTTTCCCCATCTTGGGAAGGAATTTTACAAAATGGAACAATGTTATATAGCAAAAGGTGCAAGAGATCAGGTTGAGAGGGAAGACTGCTTTGTGGCCTCTTTGTTTTCATATTTAATCTTGATTTTAACTTTAATGAAATAAAAAGGCATCTCCAAATGACAAAAACAAGGAATGATGTTTTGAAGAGTCTGTACTCACCTGTCTTGGCTTGAGAATCAGGTGCTGTGATCTCCATGATGAGATTTTCTAAAGAAGTGCCTTTGCAATTGATTTCTTCCACCAGAGTTCCCTTATTTGCCCAGTCAGCTAGAAGACCCTATTTAAAACACAAAATGGCTAAATATAACATCTGGGGGCCTTCTTCTCATCAGTAGGGACAATTGTTCTACATATACTGCCCAAAGTTTTAACAAGTGGTAAGAACCATGATCATATACTTAGTCATTTCAAGATCCTGGTTTAGTCAGCCAAAGTACGGGAGGATAAGGTCCTAGAATTTTCAGAATCTACTGCTTTATTTGCTCATTCATCAAGTATTTATTGGGCATTTACTATAGGTCAGGCACATGCCAAGGGATACAAAATAGGATTAATGCACAGTTACTAAAGCAACCTAGGGCTCAGATGATCAATTGCATCACAATGTAATAAATGTTATTATAGAAATATGCATAGTCAATGAACTCAGAAAGAACAAGGAGATACATCTAACTGCCAGGTGGACAAAAGGGAGCAACATGTATGAAAAGAACAGAGTGGAAATGGCAACCAGATGGTAAAATATTGAGACACAGAGAAATACAGACTCACAGGCTATATTTTGCATTTATCAAGGATACTTTTAGGAGCTGGGGGTATGGCTCAAGTGGTAGAGCACCTGCATAGCAAGCACAAGGCCCTGTGCTTAAACACCAGAAACATCAGTGCTACCAAGAAAAAAAAAAAAGGAACTTTATTTTGGGTTTGAGGCAGAACTGGATCTACCACAGAAAGCCATTAAATGGCATCTGCTCTAAGACAAAAATACCAGGTCATGCTAAGTCTCTGAGATGAAACAGTTTGCCCAGAGCAGGAGGATTTTACTCATTTCAAAGTATCTAGTTTTCCTTGATTCACAGTTGATATCCCTGGCAAGTTACTTACTTTGTTTTTGACTCTAAGCTGTAAAGAAGTGGCAGAGAAAGATATAATGCCATCAACATCTAGTAAGTCACACAGCCTAATTTCAAAATGATCCTCAGTCACTGCTTGTCAAATCTTTCATTAATTGCTCTTAACTTCTAAGTGCCTCAGTCCCAAAACTATACACTGACACATGGGATATTTTAGTTTTTCAGGGAAATATAGTGACAGCTGTTGGATACCACATGAAAAACTACTGTTAAGATTTTTGGTCCTGAATACTTAGTATGTGAAAATATTAGGTTGGCTTTTTTTTTTGGAAGTATCAAGAAAAAAATTTTTGAAACAGTAAGAGCACTGTGAATCAAGAAAGTTGGGAAATTTTTTTCCTAGGGAATTCCAACAGCAAATGCTCCTGTCATCAGCTTTATGAAAGTAATCAAACTTTTCCCTTTCATCTCCTCACAATACAATTTGCTTTTCTGAGAAAGTAAGGGTGAATGCCTGAATGTTAGTTAGAAGCAGATATGACTATTTCAACAAAAAAAAAGATATGTCAGAAGTATAAGCAGAGACTGGATGCCTATGAATCAAAGATGGCACAAAAGGGATTCTGCAGTGGGTGAGAGGAAGATTGGTCCCAACCTTAAAGGTATCTTTCAACTTTTCTCCTCAGCTTCCAGATCATGTGTCTGTCTAATTCTCAAGCATACAATGACAGTATAAACTTCTCAATTACTAGCCTTTGACTAATCTTTTTTATAATGTCTTTTTTTGGGGGGGCAGTACTGGGGTTTGAATTTAGGGCTTCATGCTTACTAGGCAGGCATTCTACCACTTGAGCCACTCACCAGCCCTAAAATGTCTTTTTTTTATGACCTATGATAGTATGAGAGGTATCTAAGAAAAAGCTGACACTTTATAGATTTTATTCCCAGATGATTTGTTTGGTTTTGTTTTTAAATAGGAGATGCTATAGTGCTCACTCAGTGCTGGGTAGGGGTAGGTGAGAATCATAGGAATAAAATGGAGGAATTTCTATTCTCATGCAGAAAGACAAATTTAATATCTGAAATCACCTCATTACAACTGGGGATCAGTTTGTATTCAAAACTACTTTCTAGCTAAGTTCTTAGAAACTCTTTTGTTTACCTACCTTTAACTGTTCAATCTGCTTTTCCAGCTCTTTAGCACTAATGAAAGTCTCTGCAGGTGGAATATTCCCTTCAGTTTCTTTCAGCCATTTTTGGAAGGTCTTAACCAGCTTCCGGAATTCATCCAATTGCTCCTGGCAAGATGATGCATCTTTCTCTCTGTTAACAAAGATGTTTTGTTACTAACCAGACTAAGCTTTGTAAAATGAACTAAAACTGGGTTCATTCTGGGACTCTAGGCATCAGTTTCCTAACAGGCCCTTCTTTCCCATAATCTTCTCCATAGCAAGTTTGGCTGAGCAATCACATATAATATAGGAGAGCATCAAACTCAGGAATCTGTTGTCCTTGTTTGGACATTTCTTGAGAAAGAAGTCTTCAATCTTACTCTAGGCTAAAGTGAAAATGAGAAAGCTAAAGGGTGCCTGCTATTTAGGTACTATGATACAATGGAAAGAATGCAGGCTTTGGATGTCCATTCCAGCCCTGTTACATTTTAGGTATTTGACTCTTTCAAGTCCCAAATCAAACGCTGAATCTGAGGCTCACAGAAGATAGCTGACTAGCCCAAGATTAAGAATGCCCATGTACAAAATAAACTAAGGAGAAAGCTTTGGCCTAGAGTGGTAGTGCATGTCTGCTATTCCAGCTATTAGGGAGGACATCCTGGACAAAAAGTCAGCAAGATCCCATCTCAACAAAACAAGCCAGGCAGGAATGGTAACATGCACCTGTGATCCCAGCTATGGGGAGGCCTAGGGAGGAGGAACAGTTCGAGGTCAGCTCTGGGCAAAAATGCAAGACCCTATTCAGAAAAATAACTAAAGAAAAAAAGGGCCAAAGGTGTGGCTCAACTGGTAGAGTGCCTGCGTAGAAAGTGTGAGGTACTAAGTTCAAACCTTAATACAACATCATTTCCGTCCACCACCTCAAAAGAAAGGAGAACGTTTTGGAAATGACCATTTCTATCAGTCATATATTAATGCAGAGATCCTGGTTCCTCATATAGCTGAAGACAGACCTTCAGTATGGGAGAAGAAAAGCAAAACCTTCCTGGTCTTTGTCCTCAATTCCTCCAATAAGTAGCCTGCTTCTAAGTGTTGGTTTGACCAACTGTTTTCCTCTATTCACTAAGGTAGTCATCTGCCTTAGGCTAAATTTACTTCTGAACCAAGAGAAGTTTTGTTTGTGCTCTTGAACCCATGGGAGGCTTCTAATGTGGAATCGTGGTTTTTCAACAGTAAGCCAAATTCAGCTAGCCTTTGTCATATATGCCTTTGTCTGCCTTGAAAAAAGAATTTGGATACTGCTCCAAAATAACAACTTAATGTGGTCCAAACAAGCATGCAGAATTGAATACAACCCTTAATCATGTCTGATAAAAGTCTCTTCCAAATTTTCTCTTTATTTTTAATTTTTTTGGGGACCCTGGGGTTGAACTCAGGGCCTTACACTTGCTAGGCAATCACTCTTACTGTTTGGGCCACTCCACCAGCCCTTTCTTGTGATGAATTTCTTTGAGATAGGGTCTTGCAAACTGTTTGTCCAGGGCTGGCTTCAAATTGCAATTCTTCTGGTCTCTGCCTCTTGAATAGTTAGGAATACAGGGTGTGAGCCACTGCCTCCTGGCTTTCTCTTGAAATTCTGTCATAATCCTACTTGCTGCCCTGTATTTATTCTATTTGACCTGGTGACCTGCGCTTTTGGTCATACAGAGCAGAACTCAGTCCCATAACTGAGAAGGAATTTATTAGCTGGTAAGAGAAAAACTACTGAGCATCAAGTGGATCAGGTAGCTTTGCCTAAAAAATGTATTTTTCAACCTCTTATGGCTCAGCAGCAAAGTTCAGATGCCATCATTTCTGGTAAAGGAGGAAGGAAAATAAAAAGAATAGTTTTCTAACCAATCCAAGTGAAAACTCACCTTTCTTGAACTGTCTTCTGCAGCTCTGTGAAGTCCTTTCTGAGGTTCTGTACCCTGACCTTGTGCTGGGACAGGTTTAGTGCAAGGCCGCAAGAATTCAGTGCAGTGACTAAGTGCTCAAGTGTATCTAGGTTCTCCCGTTGGTCTTCCATTTCTGAAGTGAGCTCCTGTCCAGCAAACAAGTAAACACATTAACTAGTCTAATTCTTAAAAATCAGTATACTAAGAAAGATAAGATATATCTATAAGTTCAGGAAGAAAATCTCCCTAATCTGTAGAAATGTATGAACAAGAAAAAAGGCATGCTTGTTAGGTCAATTAAATCCACAATAATAAAAATGCAGAACCTCTACAACCCAATGGAGAGCAGCTAGAAATTACAGAAAAATCTTATCTCTTCTTTAAGCAAATGTTTGAAGACTTGGGAGACATGACAGAATGAAAAGAATTAAAGTTTTAGGGGTCAAAAAGATCTGTAATTCAATCATGGTTGTGGTACTGCATTTGAACTTAGGGCCTACGCCTTGAGCCAAACCACCATAGTTTTTTTTTGAGATAGGGTCTCACAGACTATTTGCCTGGGCTGGCTTTGAACTGCGATCCTCCTGATCTCTGCCTCCTGAGTAGCTAGGATTACAGGTGTGAGCCACTGGTGCCTGGCCCCTTGCTTGTAATCCTAAACCACTAAACTTCTCTAAGCTTCCAGTCTCATCTGTAAAATGGTGAAAAGTATTAATATCAAAAGGCACAGGAGAGAGTGTAATCTGTATTCCTGGACAGAGCATCTAGGGTGTACCCTTATCTTCTCCCAATCTAAAAAACTCTTCCTCCTAAACTTTTGCATCTAGACAGTTCTTATCTATTTTATACTTTAATCAACATCTCAATCCCCACAAAGGAACCCTTTTTGTACTTCTCAGTCTTACTTTTGCCTGCAACCTGATGTGTATTTCTTTGGTGACATGTCATACGATTCAGTAAACCTTCCTGTTCATATAATAAGGGTGAAGTGAATAATATGGAGCCTTGCTGAGAGCAAGGCTCAAGTGGTAGAGCACTTGCCACCAAACATGAGTCCCTGAGTTCAAACTCTAGTACAGCCCAAAAAAAAAAAAAGAAAGAAAGAAAACAATGAGGACTTTACTTATATACTTGTAGATGATTGATTGCTACTCATTGACAAAACTTAGGGAAACTTTTGCATGTCATAAAGAATAATTTATAATGAAATGGTCATTCTTTTATATTTTTATAAAGAGGGATAAAATAATCAGCAATTGGTGAATCTAGGTGAAGAATATGCTGTTGTCTGTTGGACCGTTCCTTCTACTTTTCTACAAAGTTTGAAACTAATCAAAATAAAACTGAAAAATTAAGGAAACAAAACAAAACAAAGTCCTACTTGAAAATCGAGAAAAGAAAGTTGGATAAACCCAAGACAGTGATAGATGGATGTTGAAGTCCTAGAGGCAGGAATGTGTGCTGGTGTAGCCATTCTGGAGTTCAAATTGGCTACTTCACAGTCAAATTAAGTACCAAATGTTTCTAGCTTTGCACCTTCTAGGTACATGGTAGGACGACATTTCCCAAACCCTTTGAAAATTGGGTGTGGGTCTGTGAAACCTTCTTTGACTAATGAAGTATAAATGGCTATGATATACCCTTTTCTCCTTCGAGAAGAAATCATGAAAGCTTCTGTCGGGGTGAAGACATCAGGGATGTCAACTGGCATCCCTGAGCAGCTAGGATGACTTGAGTTCGTCTGCTGATCTGGGTTTAACACACAGTATGCGTGAAAAATAAATCAGGGCTGTGTTTTACAAATGGACAAACAACATCTAGTTTACAGGATGGCTGTGATAATTCTCTAAGATGATGAAGGTATGTAGAGCTTCCAGTAGAGTGACCAACACAGTAGGTGCTCAGTAAATGTTGGTTTGCTCTTTTCCCTACTTGCACCTTTATTCTGCCAAAATGGCAGGTATATCCTCACCTGGATCTGCTGGGAAAAATGTGCAATATCTTGATCCGGCTGATTCCCAGAGGCGAGCATCCGACTTTTGTTTTCCATGAACTGCTGCAGCTTGTCGGAGAGCTGTTCAAACATCTCTGCTTGGGGCAGGAGCTTCTTTAGGGTGCTCTCCTTTTCCTGCTGCTGTAGCCGGAGCTGCTCAAAGCGCTGGCTCACCTCTGTCAGTTTTCCTTGCAGCACTGCAGCTGTGGTGCTGTCTGCTGTCTCCATGAATCGGCTCACCATCTCACGGGTGGCCTCCAAGCTGCTCTTCTGCCGAGCAATGTCCTGTTTCAGCTTCTGTTATGAAGAACAAGTCAGTCAGCTTTTGGCTTTATTTTGGGAAGCCTGAGCACATATTAAAAACTCCATGCTCACTCCTCAAGGAGGTTGGAGAACTACAACTGAACTTGCAAAATTCTACATATCTTATCCCTTTAGTTTTCCAACCATTCTACCAAATGACTTTGAAATCACCATTTTTCTTCAGGAAAACAGTGGTTTGGCAACTGTGGAGAAATAGCTTTTTTTTTTTTTTTTTTTGTGGTGTTGGGAATGGAATGTATTAAGCATCTGCTCTACCACTGAGTTGTATCCACAGCACCCGCAGTAGCAGTATCTTTACATGGATTAGCTACTGGGATCATCACTAAGTCTTAGAAGATTCATGGACCTGAATTTTTCTCCTGTTACTTCTTCTAAATTATGTTATTATGGCAAATGGCAAACACATGCTCTTTTGTAACTCCTAGGACATAGATCTTACCACATTATTGGCCAGAGCTTCTTGGATGACTCTTGATGAGAGTGATGCTACCTGTTCTCTTTCTAGGTTTTGTTCAACTTCTCTGATGGACTCCAACAGACTCTCTAGGCTTTCCTGGACACTCTGAGATTGGGCAATTGCCTTCTGCAGTAGAGCAGAGCGCTCAGCCAAGCTACAGGAGAGGCTTTGGAAGTGGCTGAGTATGGAATCTGTAAAATCAAGGCCATGAGAAGAAAGAGTAGGTACTATTTTTGTATTGTGCTTTTAAAAACAATGTATTTAAATGGCATATATTAATTATAATAATTGACATTAAGACAAACAGAAGGAATATGCTTAAAGGAACTAGTATTGGAGCTAAATTCAATGAGCATTTAGCACCTACTAAGAGCCAGAAATTGAGTGAGATGCTAAGGATTAAAGATAATCAAAATAAAGTCTCTGCTCTTAACAAACTTAAGACTTAAAACAAAGCATAGCAGAGGAATACACATCACAACTAACCATAAAAATAAAGTTGAAAATGCTATACTGATACTAGGAATATTCCATAGAGAAACTGAGAGAGAAGAATTACTCCATACTTTTTATTTCTTTTGACTGACTGGAACTGGGTGTTAGGATTTTACAAAGGAAGTAACTTCTCAGATACATCTCTCTCTCTGGACAAGTAAAAACTATATGTATTTATAGCATACAAATGATATTTTGAGATACACATATGTCATGGAATAGCTAAGTCAAATTATTTAACATATGCATTATCGTACAAATTCATCACTTTTTGTGGTAAGAACACTTAAAATCTACTCTTAGCAATTTTCAAGGATAAATTAACTATAGTCACCATGATGTACCCTTGTCTATATCCTAAAGCATGAACAAAATTTCATCATGCATAATAAACATGATGAAATGTTATCTACTAAGCAATAGAAAAAACTTCAGGGGCAATATCATTTAGAAATGATTGGTTTACTAGGGAAATGAAAGCAGCAGGATGCAGCTTGGCGCCAATGGTTCACATCTGTAATCGTAGCTACTTGGAAGGCTGAGATCAGGAGGATTGCAGTTCAGAGCCAGCCCAGCGAAATAGCTCAGGAGATTCCATCTCCAAACAACCAGAGAAAAATGGACTGGAGGTATGGCTCATGCAATAGAGCGCCTGCTCTGCAAGCATGAAGCCCTGAGTTCAAACCCAAGTTCCAATAAAAAACAAAACAAAACACCAAAAAATCCAGAAGCAGGGTGCAGATAGGAGGTAGATGGTAAAAAGGATTGAAGTTAGATGGTGAAAGTTCTTGAATAATGCAAGAATACAGTTCACTGGAGGACGAGCTATTTAATGAGAGCTTATTTCTATTCATGACCTCAGCCCCATCGCCTAGTACCCCAATACTTGTATGACACAATGTACTATACTGCAGAACGAAGGTTCATACTAGAAATTCAGGGAGCAGGATTACTATTACTGTTTCATACTTATACTTTCTTGAACATGCTTAAGGTTCAGAGCTGGCTCCCCTTCAATTTCCATGAGGTCACAAGCTACTTTTTGGAGCTTTTCTACAGGTACTTGGTGTTCAGCCAGTTCTTCCTGCAACTTCTGCTTGGCCATGAAAAAAAGACAAAACAAGATCATCTAAGTGAGTAATCAAAGGTGATTCTAGGAACCTAGAAAAACTAAGTAGCTTTATAGAATGATTTTCAGTTTATCTATAGCCATACATATCAGTTTATCTATAGTCACAGATATTAGAACAAAGTGTTTAGAAATCAGACCCTGTCTAAAGCATTCCCAACTACTGCCTTTAATCTATGCAAATATTTGCTTTTCTTTGCAATACAAAGCCTTAACACCCAAACACTGAGTCTGGGTTTACCTTTGTTGTTACAAGCTGCTGTTGTAGTACTCCAGGGTCAGAGGCAATAGTATCTGAGAGGAGCTTCTCCACATTGGTGCCACAAGTCTGGATCCAAGCCTGCAGAGTGTCAGCACTACTCTGGAATTGCTGATACTGGCCTAGTAGCATGTTCAAGTGAGAGCCCAACTGTGTACACTGTACCAAAGAAAGAAAGGAAAGCATACCTCAGGATAAAGACAGCAGCTTCTAGAGCAAAGCCCAAACAGTGAACCCTATTCTCTCTCCTCCAACAGTGAGCTCTGTTTTGTTAGCCCTGTTCTCTGTGTTCACTGTAACTTCATATAAAGGTAGTACTAGGGACCCTGGATAGATGGGAAGCAATCATCTACTAGTGAGGTCCTCATTGTTTCTTCCATATTGTTCTCCTCACCCTTGTTTTATATTCACGAAAACTTAATGAACTATATGACATGCCACCAAAGAAATACACATCAGGTTGCAGGCAAAAGTGAGGATTGATTGAGAGGTACAAAAAGTGTTCCTTTTGAGGGATTAGAGATACTGAAAGAAAGCATAAGATAGGTAAGAACTGTCTAGATTCTAAGGGTTAGGAGGAAGTGAGTCTTTTGGATTGTGAGAAGATAAGGATTCACCCTACATGGCTCTGTCCAGGAATACTGACTGCAGTTGGTTTATGTTTTCCTGTCCTATGTCTCTTGGAAGCCCAAAATACTGATCAGGACACAGTGAGGTAAGCATGGTGAGCAACTTTCATCACTTATGAGACATACTCCCAACACTGCTAGAAACCAGGCATAAAACCACATTCTGCATTTTTTGCACAGTTCACAAAAACCCTCTGCTTATTGTTTATATTATAGCTCACCCACTGTGTCTTGGGGTGCATATTCTGAGTCTTAGAAACCACCCACAGTTGTGTGCGGGCTACCATGGTCATGTTTCCAGAGGCTGGATCTCCTCTTACCTTTGAGTGGAGAGCAGTGTATCTTTCTGTTGCATTCTTCAGCTTCTCCTTTACTAAGTTTCTGGTTGCTGATGGTTCTTTGCCTTCTTCAAAGCTATTTTCTGTGTCCAAGACTTTCTGTCCTGAGATAGTCACAAATCTCAAGTCTCCTTTGTGGGAAATGACATCCTCTGAGAAACTTCCCTGCCTCTTTAGCATGGAGGGAAGGGCTTCGGGGCCACTGCCTCCTTTATACATGTCCTCCAGCTCATTCTCAGACCGTTCCAGCCAGCTTTCAAACTCTCTATGGTCCTGCAGGAATTTCTGTAACTCATCTTGGAGAGTTTGTACCCGCTTCAGCTCTGACTCTGACTGGGCTAGGGAAGCTGCATATTGCTCCTTAAGATCTCCTAGCTTCTCTTGTAGCATCTGTCGTTCCTCAAGGGTGAGATTATGGCCCTGCCGGTCCAGGAAGGACTGAGCTGACTGGGTGGCCAGAATGAAATTTTGCTGCTGGGACAGCAATTCTTGGTGATGGGCCTGGCAAATAACCCCCCCAAATAAAGAACAATCAGTAGGAAAACCTGAATAATTTGGTTATGTCTATAGCTTGAGGTGGAGAGATTTCTTACTATCCTATAAGGCAGTTTTCTTTCTGATGCAGAGATGCTATTTAATTAAGAGGTGTCAGGAGCCTCCCTGTGATAACAGAACCATTTTTGCTCTGTGCTGTTTCAAGACTACCAGGCTTTTGGGGGACACATACAATGGATCTTCTAAATACAAAATGGCATGCAAGAGGCAGAAGTTCTATTAATACAAAATAAAGCAATGGCCCAAACAGGCTGCCTGACAGCATTCTTGATAAGCCAAGTTTTTTTCTTGGTACAAAGGTGCCACTACTAAAATATGTGACCCATGTATTTTGTAGTTGTCTTAAATATATGATATTTTTTCAATCACTCAATATAATGCGTATGCACATCTCAGTTTATGTCCAAAGGATGGTTTGTCTCACTGACTCTATGGTTCATTTCCAGTCATGTATGACTGGCATATAGCAGGCACTCAGTATGTGCTGAATGAATAAATAAGTAGAGATAAATGATAAGAAATGGTTTCCTTTAAGCCTACTGTCTAGAAGGCAATACAGACAGTACAATACAGAATGAGGAGCACTACAATGTAGAAAGGATATGCTAACTTTGGAGAGTAGGAAAAAGTGCTTCCTAGAGGAAGCAAAATCTAAGCTGAGATATAAAGATTAAATAAAAATGAACCAAGAGCTGGGCCTTCCTTTACTTTCTACACTGAAGAGGCAAGAAAATTCTAAACACGTACAAACTGAATTTTATTTTATTTTTGGTGATATTGGGGTTTGAACTCAGAGCTTCAAGCTCAATAGGCAGGTGCTCTCCCACTTGAGCCACTCTGCTAGCCCTTCAAGCTCATACAAATGCTCAGCAGAGTGAGAGCACAGCACAGTTAATGAGCTGAAAGGGATCAGCAGCTGGAGACCCAGGTGTGAAGGAAGGTGAGCAATGAGGTCAAACAATAGGGGCAGATCATGGGGCAGGGAACAGTAAACCATGTTAAAGTGTTTGGATTTACTTAATCTTGAGGGCAATAAAGATCCATAAAAAGGGTTAAGCAGGGATACTGCATTTTAGAAAGATCACTTACTAGTTTAGGAAATGGATTGGAGGATAAAAACCAAGAAACAAGGAGACTGGGTATAAGTTACAAAAATCACACAAATGACAGCTGGTAGTAGTATAAACTGCAATATTTCAATGGAGATGAAGCAGTGTGGATGACTTTGCAAATGATATAAGAAGCATCGAACTGGTGACTGACTGGATATGGCAGAGTAAGGATGATGTCTAGTTTAGGCAACTAAGTGACAAATAAAGAAAGAGAACACCTTTGATGGGGGTGGGGCATTTGCTGGTATGTATCATGTGAGTTCCATTTTTCAGACTGAGGTATTCCAGTTCGAGAGGAGCATATACTTGTGTGGATTTATATACTCGTTTGAAGCTCAGTAGTAGTATGAGAGCTGGAGAGAAATATATATACATATACACATATATATATATTTTCATTACTGCAACTGGTAACTGAAGTGTTGTGAGTAGATGAGGTGGTTACCCAAGGAAAGTATATTCTGAAAGATAAGAAGAGGGCCTTTACACCTGGAAGCCTAACAGCATTTCAAAAACTGGTCAGAGGAAGAGGAGAATGATTATGGTAGACTAGTGCTATAGAAGTCAAGGAAGAAGTATTTCAAGAGTAACGACTAACAGTGCCAAAAGCAACTCAGATATCAAAGACATAAACCAAGAAGTGCACCCTGGTTTTGGGGTAAGGAGATTGTGGTTACTTGCCTTGGGCAGAAGAGATTCCTCCAGCTAACATCCTTACCTTCATTGCCTCACATTGCCTGTCCAGTTTCTCTGGCACTTGGTTTGCCCCCATGTAACTATCAGTGGTATCCAAGGCTCCCTTCTCCATTTCTGGAAGGCTGGTCTTTAACTGTCCACCAGATGATTCCATAGAAGTCACCCAATCCAACAGAGCATCAATCTTATTCTTGTTCTCTTCCAGCTCCTTTGCTGCTTTACTCTGAAAGTCAAGAGGTAGTCCAGTGAGAATGCCTTAAATACATAAGTATAAAACCACAGGTTAAGCAAAGGAGGTGGGAGAGTGGTTATGCTAAAGAAAAAGTGATGCTCCAATTCTGGATATAAACAGTCTTTTCACATACAAAGAAGAATTAGTATCTTCTAAAATCTGTTGAAAATAATTATTTTAAAACAATCTCTAGAGTACATCTATATCTCACTGCTTACAGGAAAAAAAAAAAAAAGGATAAATCTCAGTATTTAAACTGACGTTTAAAAATATCAGTTGGTCCTGACATCCCCCCACAGTAAGATGTCACAGAATCCTTTCTACTTATTGCAAAAGTGATATATACATGGGTTTGGTAGAGTAAGAAAGAACACAGTCACATTTAATTATCTGGCTGCATTTCTCTAAAGGAAAAGCACTCTTCTTTCATTCTTATCTATGGCAAACAAAACACTTAGCTCTTAAACTTGTCTCCCAAATTCTATTTACTGGCTCTTCAAGTACTTTAATTAAATAGGTTATATCAAGTTATACATTCATATATTTTAAAATTCATCTTCAGGCAACTTATATCTCTTTTCCATGTTCTCTACCACCCTCATTAGCGTCAGAGCCCAAGGCTGGCTTGGCACCAGTGGCTCATGCCTGCAATCCCAGCTACTCGGGAGGCAGAGATCAGGAGGAAACAGGTTCAAAGCCAGCCCCAGGGAAATAGTTTACAAGACTCTATCTCAAAAATACCCAACACAAGAAAAGGCTAGCAGAGTAGTTCAAGTGGTAGAGCACCTACCTAGCAAGCATGAGGTCTTGAGTTCAAACACTTGTATTGCCAAAAAAAAGCCCAAGGCTGATCTTTTTCAATCTGCAAATGCTGAATGGGAGGTTAGAAGACTATAAAAGACTTTACCTTCTCTTTAGTTTCTCCCAGTGCCATGATTCATATCATTAACCACAGAGGCTTCCTACGGATAGCCTGTGGCCTGTTAATGATTCCAAAGATATTTTCTCTAATACTTAGATCACCAGTCTAGATTCAAATTAGAAACATACCATTTGTTTTGTCCTCCCCAGGATAATACCGTACCCTAAATTCTTTATTTCTTTTTTCTTTTTGATGGGACTTGGGTTTGAATTTAGGGCTTTGCACTTGCAAAGCAGGTGCTCTACCACTTGAGCCACACCTCCAGTACATTTAGTTCTGGTTATTTTGGAGAAGGGGTCTCACAAACTATTTGCTCAGACTGACCTCGAACCACAATCCTCCTGATCTTAGTCTCACAGGTAGCTAGGATTACAGGCACGAGACACAGGTACCCAGCCTAAATTCTTTCAGTTAATCAAGTATTAGACTGGAGGCTTGGCTCAAACAGTAGAGAACCTTCCTAGCAAGTGCAAAGTTGAGTTCAAACCCCAGTACCACACACACAAAAGTCAAGTACTGAGTGTGTATATAGTCAGCAAGTTGGCTTTTTTTGGTGGTGATACTGGCGATTGAACTCAAGGCCTTGCATTGGCAAGTGCGCTACCACGTGAGACACACCTCCAGCCCTGTAAGATGTACTTTTTACCAACCACTCCTGACTTGAAGTCCTTCTGATGTTTCTTGTAAAAGCAAAGGTTAACTCAAAAACCTCCTGAAGCAGTCCTTTTTTGTGATTCTATGGTTTCTATAAGGCAGTTTCCCCTTGTCTTTTGAATAGGCACAAAATTTTTATTTTGGAAAACCAAGTATCACAGCACTCTGGTTACCTTTTCAGTCTCCTGTCTTAAAGCTGAAGTCACTGCTTCCTCCACTTCCTTCTGGGCCACCCGTGTCTGTTCCTGGAGAGCCTCATACTGCTCCTTAGCCCGATGAAGTTTTTCCTGAAGAGCCGTCAACTCCTGGGGACTCAGCTTGGTCTGGTTTTCTTCCAGGAACCCTTCAATGTCTTTGACAACTGTAGCAAATGAGGTGGCATGATTCTGAATGTCGTCCTGTAAATCCTGAACACATAAAAACAGGGACAGAAGTATTTTAGTACTTCCAAGTCCTTTAATAGTACAAGGATGGGATGGCTAGGAAGACATCTGCATATAGCCCCAGACTATATTAAGGTGTATGCTTAAACTACTGCAATGAAATTTTAAAATATTTACTTTTCTCAGCAAATTTACTTAGTGCAGACAAAAAGAAAACTACCCACAAATGGACTGAATAGTAGAGATTTGTAGCAAGTTATCTGCAAAAAGATTAATTTTTCTATAAAGAAGAGTTGATGGCATGATTCTAGCAGGGTTGAAGCCTCTTGGTCTTTTATACAGCAATCCTCCCTTCTCCATGGTTTTACTTTCTGAGGTTTCAGTTTCTTGTGGTCAATTGTGGTCCAAACATACTAAATGGAAAATCCCAGAAATTATTAATTCATAAGTTTAAAACTGTGCACTATTCTGAATAGCATGATAAAATCTTCTTCTTCTTTTTTTTTTTGGTGGAACTGGGCTTTGAACTCAAAGCCTCATGCTAGTGAAGCAGATACTCTACTACTAGGGCCACAATCCTAGCCAACACGATGAAATCTCATTCCATCCTGCTCTGTTCAGCCTGGAACATGAATCATCCATTTGTTCAGAATATCCATGTTGTATATGCTACCCACCAGCTAGTCACAGTACTGCCATGGTTATCAGATCACCTTTGTGGTATCATAGTGCTTGTATTCCAGGAATCCTTATTTCACATAATGGCCCTAAAGTACAGTAGTAGTAATGTTCTTTTTTATAGTATATGGTTATAATTGTTCTATTTTATTAGTAGTATGGGTATTAATCCCTTACTGTGCGTAAGGTACATATGTATGTACAGGAAAAACACAGTATATATGGTTCACTACTATTTGTGGTTTCAGGCATCAACTGGTGGTCTTAGAATGTTATCTCTCCACTCCTTTTTGGTTTGGCAGATAAGAGAGGACTACTGTTCTCTCTTGGTTACTATTCTCTTTAATGTGACCTACAAAGACCAGCATGATAAGACGTCCACCTTATTTTTCACTAATTTTCCTCTTGCTCCTTGCAGCTCAACTGAACTAGCTCTCTTTCAGTTTTTGAATATATTATGTTCAATTCCACTCCTACCTCAAGAGTTATGCATAAACCACTGCCTGGCAGTCTTCTTCCTACCTCTCCACATGCACTAACCCCTACACATTGTTCACTTCTTAGTTTGATAACTTCTTCAAGGTAATCTTTTCTGATACCCTAAAGTAGACTGTGTCTCTCTAGTGTGTATTTTCATATAACTTTATCTTTATAGACATAATGGTTAATAATTAGATGCTTGTTTTAGAGATAATCTGTGTACTTGTCTGTCTTCCTCACCAGACTATAAGTTTCATGAGGGTAGGGATGAGGTCTGTTTACCAATGATGTTGGTGTTAAGCACTGGTACATAGCAAGCCTTTATAAACATTTGTTGAAAGAGTGAAAAATAAAATGGATTAACTCACACTGACCTTCAAATCACTTTGGTTCTTCTGCAAAGCAGAAAGATCCTGCTGGGAGGCTCTGCCCTGGTGGCTCACCAGGATTCTTTCTGCCTGTCCTACCCAGCTGCAAAGATCCTGTAGTTTCTGATGACAGGTGTTTTGTTGTTTCTGCAGAGTCTAATTAAAATGCAAAGGAGTCAAGAGACAATTAATAACTCTTATTTTACAAATACAAGATCACTCCCTGAAAGTAAAACAGAAGATTATGTCTCAAGGAGGGGAAATCAGTGGAAAACTACAATAGGAAAAGGCACAGAAATCATATTCAGGGAGCTCCCCTCCTCTGGGCAGTCTGTTGGTCTGGCTCTGTGGTTGTTTCAGGGGTAGTTTCAGGAGAGAATGCTCCTACTTCAGTTTTGAATTTGAGAACTTCTTTGCCAGACTGTTATTATCATCTTCAGAAACAGAGAATTTCTGAAAACCACACATGATAATGGTAATAACAAATTAGTGATTCTGATGAATTCCTCCTGTAGAACCAGAGACTTTGCTGTATATTAAATCAAGTATTTTATACATTAATAAAAAAGTAGAATTGGAATAAAAAGAAAAATCAAGCACCCTGATAATTCAGAAGCTAATTGTTTCTTAAAAATTGAGCTGAATTTATAAATCATGTCTCACAACTACTGAAAACCATTAAATGAAATGATTACATATGCAAGGCATGAGCAGCTTGGTTGGACTATTTTAAGCAATTGACTCAGTCCTTTGGATATCTACCCTAATATCAGAAAAAGCTGGGCCCATGGAGAGCAAGGGAACATGTTTCTGTGCCTGATCCTTTCCCCAGATCTTATCCCAGTTGCATGACACTGAAGCACCTGATTGAGCATGATGTGTTCTCCTGATCATCCTTCTAAAACCATTTTCTAACAGTTTCTGCTTTCTGGTGGCATTTTAGTCACCTGCACTTACAAACAGGTGCCCACACTGGCCCTCTCCCCCTCTTTAGGACAAAAAGAAGGGCACTTGAGAACTCCTAAGAGCTCTTCAGCTGTAAAACAGGATCTTCATGGGTTAGGATAGGTGCAGACTGAATCTGAAAAAAGCAAAGCAAACAAGTTAACACACAGACATACACACACATTCAGAGCAAATATAGAGAGAAGCAGAGCATTTCTGACAATAACAAGGTTAATAAACATTTTTGGAATTAATTTTGTGCTCAGGGAGAATGTTCACATGCAGTTCTATAGCGTGCTGCAGCTCAGAGGCCTAACCAGGATCTGGCTTAAGTCTTAAGGTGACTCAGACCAATCTACTTCACTAATTATCCCCAGGATATACTGTGCTATATAAATCACTAAGTGAGCGCAGCTAGTCTTGGTGGACATATCTGTAATCCCAGCATTTGAAAGGTAGAGGCAAGATGATCATAAGTTTGAGGCCGGCCTGGGGTACATAACAAGTACGAGGTCAGCCTGGGCTACATAGTGAGACTGTGTCTCAAAAAAAATTTTACTAAGTGAAGGCATTGCACTTGGTCAGATTTGAAAGGTAATCTAAACCATTTCATTAGGATTTTAATTCAGTACAGTTGAAACAACTAAACAGTAGTGGGGGACATATGGCACTAAGTCAATTTCTTTTAGGTCTGACTCAAAAGCTCAATTATACTTTCTGTAACAGTTGAAAAAGAAGCCCTTGAGACAGATTTGTTGTGATGACAATTCCTATTATCATTTTTCTGTATGCCAATTTACTATTCACAAGCAGAAATAGCATAAACATCATTCAAGATATTTTTAAGGTTACTATTAGTGCAAGTATGTTGCGTGAGTTTTGCAATTAGAGAGTTGTGATGGGAGATGGTTAAGACAGTTAGATTTTTATTAAATGTATAATCCCTGCTTTGATAGCCTGTTTCCAATGATTAAATAAGTGCTAGAGCATGAAGAAAGGTGCTAGAGACTAACAATTTAAGAAGTGCTAAAAACTAATGTCATTCTGATAAAAATTTCCTTGTCAGCAGTTTGAAGACTGTCAAGGAATCTTATTGCAAATCATCTGAAAAGCCCCAGAATAAAACTGATTTTCAGGACAATTCTTCTCAAGGTTCAGAATATCTAGATGTTCTTCATAGCCCTCAAGAGAATATGGAGGAAAAACCTAATGGGAAGAAATAGCTAGCTATTTGATTTTCATTTGAAATTTGGGATGAGGCATGGTGAGTGTAGTCTCACTAAAATGAAAACACTTGCACATGCAATCATACATAAACATATATATTCTCTCACATGCACACAAAACAGAACAAAACAAAAAATATGGCAAGAAAAACAGCCAGAACTGCTGCCTCCTAGGCCAAAACCATACTGGCCTAAATGAGATGAAATTTTAAGATTGGCAAACCCAGGTTCCTAGAAACATAATGTATGGATGCTGGCCAGTAAATCCCAGAACAGAAGACATCCCAAAAGACAAACTGAGCCCAGTTGCTGGTTCAGTCTGACCTTAACCTGGGCTTCCTGCTGTACTTGTTGAAGATGGCCCTGCAAGACATCTGTCTGAGCTGTGATCTGTTCCACAAGATCCTGGAAAGACCTCTGCAATTCATTCAGAAGCCTCAGCATTTGTCGATTCTGCTGAGGGGACAAGTCCTGTGCATGCTCAGAGATAAAGAACTGAGTATCGAAAGCAAGAGCATCCAGCTGAGATTTTCTTTTGGCCACCAACTGTTTCATATCCTAAGGCATATAGAGGAAAAAAAGAGGGAGAGAGGGAGAAATAAGGCTTCCATTTCTGTATCCATGAAAAAGCTGTTGATTGAAATAAAGAGAGGTTAATTCTCTGTGTGCATGTGTATGTTTCTTTTTCCTCCCCCATGTTGCTAAGGATTGAACCAAGCAAGTTTCTACCACTGAGTTTTATTCTAGGGCCAAATTAACACTGGAAATCTCTCTCATTTTTGTCTTTCCAAATTTCTTCATAAATTACAATTATGTTTCCTTTATAGGACTTGATTTCCAAATTTAGTAAGCTTTTAATTATTTATTCTAGCAGAATTATACGATTGCTAATCCAAAGCATTTGTAATTTTAAAAGTTTTGGAAGGTATAACATGAATTTTTTGTCTGAGATATACCTAATTATACTTTCTTAGGCTCAAATATCTATTTGAATTTGAGTTACTGGCAAGCCAATACCAAGCAAATATACAACTTATTTGTGATTAACTAAGATTTAATTTTTAGAGTAAACAATGCTCTTTATACATTTTTAAACAGTGAAGGGTTATAGTTGGGCTTTCTTATATAAGTTATATTGTTCCCTTAAGGTGGTAAAAACTGTCCAAACACTAAAGTCATCTGTTTACAGACAATTGAGAACATGTGATTTTCCTACAAACATTTGTTATGCTAGGCACAATAAAAACAGTTAGGAAATCTGTATCTCTATCACGCTAAAACTGAGAGTAGTCAGTTGTCAATCCTGTAAAATAGACAGAAGGGCTTCCCTCAGCTGTGAGCATATAGTTTCATGAAACATCATGAGGAGAACATGGCCTAGACTGCTTTTTTCTTCCTATAGGAAAATCACAGAAGTTCTAACACATCCCCATTGGGGATGGCACCAATGCATGAGATGCTCTTTTTACACCTCACAATACGTCATAGAGATTATTTTTCTGCTTGTTTCTTTATAATATCTTAATGACCAGATAAAAGTCTATTCCTCTTTTCCCAATGATATCTCTGGATAAAAGAAGGAGGTAGATCAACTCTTGGAAGATAAAAAAGTGATGAAGAGATTGTGTAAAAGGTTGACCATTGATAAACCTTCATGTCTACCTCTCTTAAGACTGGGGAAAAGGGAGAGGACAGAAGAGAAAGGAGGAAAGCCCTAATTCCTCCTAACTTCCTAAAGAGTTTCTGGAGAGGGACATCTCTATTATAAACCAGAGTGAGTAGCATCTGATATAATCTTGAGTAGAGTACAGCAACAAAAATAACAATATTGGAGGAAAACTTTGTGGCTTAAATGTATCTCATAGTCTTAACTTGTCTCTTATTGACTAATAATAGTCAATCTGGACCTTAACAAGAAGAAAAGTGTATGGCTAGAGCAGGGGTCAGCAAACCATAGTCCCTTGCCAAATCTGTCCTGCAAGGCCTAAGATATGTATTATCTGGCTTTTTTCAGAAAATTTGCCAAATCATGCTTTATGTCACTTGCTCAAAAATCCTGCTGAAATTGGGGGAGGGGAGAGTAAAAAAGGAACAAGGGAGAGATTCTAGCTGCTCAGTTATAAAGAGAGTATGAAGTTATAATACTAGGCCGTTCCACAGACTCTCGGAGAATGGCTCAAAGAAGAAAAAAACATCTGTAATCACTGAAGCTTCATAAGTATGATAACATAGCTGACTATTTCTAAAATGGAAAAAATCAGTCTTTCTAAGAAAGACATAGATATTGGTTTGTCCAGCAGGAAAATAAAACTATATGACTAAAGGATAAATAAAACATGCTTGAGAATGGGTAGAGAGTTTACCTCATACTGTTGGAGAGAGTGACTGAGGCTGTTGACATCTGTTTCATTATCACATCCCTTGCTTTTGAGAATAATACCAGTATTGCCAACCCAGGTTCTTAGATCTTGAAGTTTGCTTTCTAGCTGCATGTGCTGATTTAACACTGTAGCCTAGGAAATAAACTGCAAGTCAGATTATAAAACTCTTCAGGCCTGCCCAGGTTTTATGACACTTAATGAATAAAAACAAGATGCTACCTTTTTGACTTCCATGGCATTCTGGATGTGGAGTAGTCTGGAACTCCACGTGTCACTCACAGAGCTGAGAGATTTATGAAGATTCTTGGCATCTTTCTCTAGAGCCTTCAACAGCTGCTCAGGGACTTCTTGGGGCTGACTGATGATAATCTCATCCACACACCCCAATTCCTGACTCACCAGGGTGGACAGATCCTTTAGTTCCTTGTCTAACACCTGAGGAAACAGGGTGGAGTTACCTCCAGGATCAACACTAGCAATCTTGCCATTGGGGAATCAGCTGTGAACACATTCCCCTCACTTCATGTCCTCATAGGACTTAGGCTTAGAACATATTCTTATGTACACTGATTAGATTACTTGGTTTTCACAATCAATGATTCATGAGGTGATGGAAAGACATTACTATTCTGGGTTTACAGAAGAGATGCCATAGAACTGAACAATGTAACTTTTTTTTGTCAGAGGCTACCCAGCTGAAGTTGGTAAGCAGGAGAATCAGGACTTGGCTTCAAGTTTTCAGACTCAGTGCAGTGCTATCTCCACTACAACTTGCTGCCTTTCCAGGAGTATCATTATGCCTTTCCCCAAGGAGTTGGTTTGGAGAATTATTAGTGTGCTACAAAATAATTCAACAAAAAAGATGATCTCCTACTCCGAATTTCAAGGGAGTAGATCCGAGGAGTATAAAAATACTCCAAACCACCTTCCCAGTCAGCTGGCCTATAATATTCTTATCCTTAACAGAGACGTCAACAATAAGCTGTGGAAAAGCTTGCTAGTTTTTGTGTCACAGTCTCACTTCCCCATCAGCTGTCCTACCCAATGTAACAAACAATGGATATTGAGAGAAACAGTAAACCTTTACAATCTCAGTCTTCACTGCAACTCCAATCCTGTAACAACTCTTAGTCTTCAATTTGAGTAATAGAGTGACTCTTCCTCCTTCTCAAAGTCCCCTTTCTATGTTCTCGAAGGGCCTGATTCTCTTGATCATCACTTCTAACTTCAAGTTCTCCAAAAACCTATTCAAAACGTTCCCTATCAATCTAATCTCCTCTAGCTACTGTCTTACCTCTTTCCTTGACTGTAGTACAATGCTTATGGAAAGAATGGTCTACAGTAACTATCTCCATTCTCCAATATCCCACTTATTCTCACTGTGAACTACTTTATGTTCCACCACTCCACTGAAACTGTTCTTATGAAGGTTATCAGTGACTTTCAGGTGTTCAATCCTTACTTTACTCACTGGACTCAGTCTCCCCACCGTCTTAATACTGCTGACTCTCCTCCTCCCTTGAGACTCTTCCTTTGGTTTCTGTGAGACTGGTATTTCCTGGTGTTCTTGGAAAAATTAATACTTAAAAACCTGGGCTGGGGGTATGGCTCCCCTAGAGTGCCTGCCTATCAAGGCCCTGAGTTCAAACCCCAGTGCCACCAATATATATATATGAATGTGTATATAGTTTTTCTTTATGAATACTCTCTATTTCCTCCAAGGCTCTCTTTCTTTTGTTTTAGCCTGTCTTTTACTCCAGATGCCTAAAACACTGACAACAAACTACCTGCAGAGGTGGGCCTGGTGATTATAGTCTTCACTGAGGGTGATGGGGTTACCTATTTATATCAATGCCTCTAGGTCTTCCCCTGTGGGCTGGTCAAATCATAGAGGATGGAGGGAAGCTGAGGCTCAGTCTATAAACTTTCAGTTAGTCCTAATTTCAGCACAGAACCTTTACCTTTGACTGTGGCTATCTGGCTGGTCAAGAGACACTGTACTACTTTCCTCAGAGGATAAATCTTTGACCTTCTGTTGGAACAGGGCATGTGTAATTTCCAGGCTATGTAAAGTTAGAAATCTGAAGATCTAATTGCTTCTTTTTTCTTTCTTTTATTTTATCATTTTTACATTTACTTACATGTGTATACATTGTTTGGGCCACCTCCCCCACACCTTCTGCTCCCCCCCAATTGCTTTTTAAACAGACTTTAAGATTACAACCTGTCTGCATATCCATCCATCATCTCTGCTATGTTGTACTACCAGTAAGGGAGGCTTTGAGGAGCTCTGTAGTGTTAAGTCAGGTTGCTCCTTAGCTTCCTCCACTGCAAGTTTAGGATATGTTTTTTTCTAGTCAGCTAAAGTAGTTACCTAAATTTATTTTCTAACTTCTAAAATTTTATTAGTTTCTCTTCCCTTTTCCTGGGTTTTGCTTTTAATTCATTTGTTTTGAGACAGAGTCTCACTATGTAGCATAGGCTGGCTTCAAACTCATGATTCTCCTGTTTCAGTCTCTCAGATGCTGGGATTACAGGCATGCACCACCGTTCTTGGCTGAATGCATGCATTTTTACTTTCTTTTTGGTAGTACTGGAGTTTGAACTCAGAGTTTCACACTTGCTAGGCAGGTGCTCTACTGTTTGAGCCATACCTCCAGCTTGAGTTTATGCATTTTTTAAAAACTATACTTTCCTGATGTCTTACTGGAGTTGTAGGAAATACCAGATGTTTACTTATGTATCTAACCTAATGTTTTAAGTTCTTAACATTTCTTACTTGAATTATTGCAACAGTTTCCTAACCAGACACTCTGCTTTTGAACTTACCTCACTCAAGCCAAGATCACACAGATAACATGTCTATCCAAAATCTGTCTGTTGTAATTCTTATCCAGTCTATCCAACCTAGTCCACCCTAAGATTACTTAACAAGGCTCTGAGACTCTTTACCCTGGTATAAAATGCCAAGCAGGTTCTTTTAAGCCTTGAAATCTCCAAGGACGCTAGAGACGGCTTTCTTAAAGCCAGTAGACCTGTTTGAAGTTTCTGGGAACCTACCTTGGCCTGGCACAGCAGATCCTGTAGTTCTACCAGGTTAAACTCTAAAGGTTGAATCTGTTTGGTTCTCATTTCAATGTCCCGTAACAGAGACAGATAGGATACCAGTTTCTCATCATGTTCTAAACAGAGTTGCCGGTTAAACACATTCTGTGGAGCCAAAAAGAAAAACTCATTCAGTTCTGTCATTCTCCTTTAAGTTGGGTTTTAAAGCAGGCAGAGTTTCTTTTAAATAAACAGAAACAATTTCTACTACACATAAGACAGAATGAAATAAAAATATTATTGTATTTAACTCATTTCAAAATAATAGACAAAGTGGTTTTATTAATGTCCTTAGAGAAAGGAAGCTCATAATTATCAATCAATAAGTATACTTTTGGGAACATTCCCATAGGCTATTCTAAATTTCAAGTAACATCATCCTAGTGTTTCAAATTAGTTCCAATGCTAGCTTCTAATGTAAAACTCCTGGACTGGAGATATAGCTCAGTGGTAGAGTGCTTGCCTAGCAAGCCCTGGGTTCCATCCCCAGCACCACAAAAAAATAACAAAACAAAATAAAATTCTTGCAAATTTCAGAAAACTTTCAGAGCCAATGCCTAATTTTCTAACAACTATATTACAAATAGACAATGATAAACTAGGTTATATCTTAGAGGATTATTTAGAGCCCTAAAATGCATATATGCATAGTTATACTTATGTGAACTCTGTAACCAGTTAAGAATTTTAAACTAGTCTTGTAAACACACACTCTTGGGAAACTTACTTGAGTTGCTCTGAAAGGCTCTGAGTTTAGACCTTCACTTCCCTTTACCCCAGGTACAGCCATGAAGGGAGCTTGTTCATTGCCAGGGCTGTCTCTGAGCCTTTCCTGTAGTGTCTTCTCACCCATCTTCATTTTAGAGTATGACATTTGGGATACTGTTGTTTCTTCATTGATCTCTGAAACAGTGGGACTAACAATAACATCCTGTAGCCCTGTGCACTCTTTCTGCAACACATCTTTGCACAATGTTTCTGGAAGAAGGGATACCAAAACTCTGGGACCGCTCTGAATCACTATGCCTTCAAGTGGCTCTTCTTCTGGACCTGTAACTACAGGGTTTGCCATTTCTAGAGATTTCTCTCCATTTGTTCCCTGAGCTGTTGTTACTTTAAGTTTAGGAATTCCACAAAGCTCATGATCACCTTTGCTGTCCTGCTCATGAAAGTCTTTTCTGTCTGAGGATTCCAGATACCTGACCTCTCTTGCATCTACTCCAGAAACCATAATTTCTTTCAATGTAAGAGCTCTTGCTGAATCAAAAGATACTTCTTGGTATGACTTTTCTTTACATACTTTACATGGGAAACTCAGATCTTTGGTTTCCTTAGAATCTTGGTTATCATTGGTTTCTTGTCTAGAGGTTCCTTGGACAGACTTGTCTGTCTTGGAAATTTGGGATGCACCTATGACTTGGCCTTTTTCAATTGACCCCTGGCTGTCCAATACTTCAGGTCTTAGGGTCATAGAAGAAAATGGCTCACTCTGAGCCTCACTAATAATTTCTTGAGATAAAATTTCTTCGGGTTTTAAGGTAAAGCATAGGCTTACATTTTTTACTTCCCCTTCACTGACTTGTGTAGAGCTAAAGAGTGTTAAAGTGTCTTGATTTCTTACAGAAATTCCTTTGGGCATCATTTGGGAAGAGTCTTCAGTTTTACAAATAATAGAAAACCCCATTTCTCCATAAGTTTCTTTCCTTTTTTCACCTTCAGTCATTCCCACAAACTGATGATTCTTTATAGTGGAGTCATGCTCATCTCTAACGGCAGTTTCCTGAGTCAGCTTTTCCTCAGGAAAAACTTCTGGTTTGCACGTTTGGACACTTTCTTCTACAATCCTCTCCCTCTTCTCTCTTTTACTTTTTACCCTGGTATTCACTGGATCCTCACTCAGCAATGTGCCTGATAGCTCACAATTTGATTCCTGTACTTCTGAAACCATTTCCCCTTGACTTTTTCTTGCATCTTCAGCATGTAGGGCTAAGGTGGACTGCTTTACATGAGTGATTTCTATTTGTGCTATTACTTTTTCCTGCTCTACATTTTTATTTTTTTCCATGTGTTTTCTAGCTACCTCTCTGAGTTTTAGGTCAGATGCTTCTGAGTGAGGATGCATCACTAAAATTTGACCTGAGGATTTAGCTTTAAGATTACCAGGAATTATGATGTTGACAGAGTCTTTAGCATTTGGAGTTCTCCCCTCATTTTGATCCTTACCTTCCAATTCCTCCAATAAAATCCTTTTTCCCTGTTCACTGTTGGAATCTCTTGTTTTAGGTTTTCCTTGTGCAGAATGATTTTCAATTTGTAAGACTCTATTTTGTTTTCCTTTATCACAACTCACTTCAGCAGTCTCGTTACATGTAACTAATATCTCCTTTCTTAGAAATTCATTCTTTAATTCACATACTTCAGTTCCATCTTGGTCTTCAATATGCACTCTGTGATCATGGGACTCTAAAGTATCTATTTGGATCACAGTTGCCAGTTCAGGGTTGATAAGTCTTTTCTCAACAGCTTCCTTTAAAGTCACTCTTTGATCATTAAATATGTCAACAATTCCTCCATTTAACACCTGATGAGATGCAATAATTCTGGCCATACTTTCATCCACCAATTTCTGTTCCAAAGCTGATGCCAATGTAAGTCCTTGGCCTGTGGCTATATCTATGATTCCACCAGTGTTTGCCTGAGCCTCCAAAACCTTCAGTGTGGATGCAAAGTCTACTTTTCCAAGCTGAATTGCTTCAGGCAATGTAAGCACTCTATCGTTTGCTCCATCTTTAATGTCTGAGAAGGGAATTACTTCTAGGTATCTCTGGCCAGATTTAATATCAATCTTACATTTCTTTACCATGTCTGAGTAGGGAACAATCTTGCAATTCTCAGGATCTACAACTCCATATTCCATTCTTGAAGGTAATACTGCTTCATTAGTTAACAGCTCTTCTTTGTTAGCTTCTGCCAAGGTCAATCTCTGGCTAGAAATGAGATCCACAAGGTTTCTACTAAAGACCTGAATTTCTTGGATTTCTCTTTTCAACTCTGGGGTAACAAGATCTAATTTTATGGCTTCAGAGAGGGAAAGACTTTCCTTTGTTTCAGGATGAAAAAATTGAAGGAGGTATAAGTTCTCAACTTTTTTGAGTTGCATGGCTAGACCTTCACTAATCAGGCCATGTTTAAAGGCATTATCAACGGACAGTCTCATCCCAGACTGAATGTGAATGATACCTCCATCAATCACCTGCTTAGTCAGCAAATTAATAGCTTCTTCTCTCTTCAGAAGACCTCTGTCAATGGATTGCACAACTGTTAAAGGGATTTTGTTGTCAGGGTCCATAAGTCCTGTTGTTTCCATCTGTAGACCAATTAATCTCTCCCTGGCTGATTTTTCAGAATCTCTGCCTTTGGAAGCCTTCTCCAGATTTATAAGCTCTGTCTGGTCAGCATGGTCCACCAAACCAAGATTTGAGGCCAAAGTTACTGAAACTTTTTTGCCTCGTTTCAGGTCAACAATTCCACCAGTCACTACTTGCCCTTCTAAAATCCTGGCAGCTGTTTCCTTCTCAAGAAGTCCAAATGTCACGGCATCCTTTACAGAATAGAGAGTGTGGGTACGGGGGTCTAAGACACCACTTATAGCTTTGTCTGCCACGAGAACATAATGTAACAATTTCTCATCCATCAGACCTTCTTCAATGACATCTTCAGTTGTCAAAGACTCGCAGGTCTGAGAGTCAAAGAAGCCCTGAAACATGTTCAGTTTTTCCATAAGTTTCACAGCAGTGTGGCTGGGCACAATGCCTTTGGCTATTGCTTCATTCAGTAAAAGCTTCTGACCTGTTTCTTCATGAAAGATACCACCATTTAGTAGCTCTGTAGATAATACATTTAAGGAAGCTTCTTTAAGCAATTTGGAAGGATGACTGCATGATAATGAAGTCTCACAACCACGATCTTCTGAGTCAGTCTTTTCTAACATCATTGTATTATCATCTGCAAAGCTTTGTCCTTCTTGGCTTTGTTTATGGCCATCTCTAGCCAAAAATATTTCATTTAACACTTTGTCTTTATCCAAAGAATGAATATTCATAACATTTTCTGACTTAAATTCTGATTTTAAATCTAGAGACTTCTCTACCTGAAACTGTGACTTTTTGCTTTGGGATTTTATGAGAGGTCTTCCAGTTTCACTTGGAGTACATTCAGGCTGAAGGGTTGTTGCTTGTTCTTTTTGACTTGTAAAGCAAGTCTTTTTGGGAGCTTGCCAGTTCTTCTCTGTCATTGCAACCACCAAGGGCCCACCTTCAACTTCCTTAGGATGTACCATCAGTCCTCTGTTGACATTTTCTCTAGTAGACATTTCTGTTTGGTCTTCCTTTTTAGTACCTATCAACTGCCTTTGTAATTCTGACTTTACTTTATGTATGACCTTCACAGTGTCAACATTCGCAGTACCTTCTTGTTGTTCTCCCACAAACAGATCCTTTTCAGGGTTCTCTACAGAAGAACATTTTATTCCTGTAACAGTTTTTTTGCCTTTTGCATCATAGCAATCTTCCTGATCGGGATATTCTTTGTTTTGAGAAGAAAACTGGAATTCATATGGTCTCACAGTAAGCCCACCACTGAATGTTTCTGTAATGTTCCCATTAGGTGATTCTTGCAATTCCTTAGGAGTGTCTGATCTTTGATGCCCAATTCCAAACACTTCTGGAGGACTTGTTTGACATCCATCTCCAGATATTAAAGTCTGCATCAGCTCTTGATCTAACAGAAGCAATCTCTGTCCATTCTGCACATTAATATAACTGTGAGTCATCAGTTGAAATAACAGCTTCTCTCCATGGTTTGCTATGCTCTCAGTTTGGCTCTTGCTGCAGAGTAGAGCTGCTGCTCCAGGAACAATGCCTGATTTGTTTTGTTCTGAAGAGTCTGCTAATTGCATGTGCGGCATCATATCAGGGATACAAATTAATTTTAAGTTATTGGCAAGATCTTTGTCCAAAATACAACTTTCTATTGCTTTCTTCCAGGAGCAAATCTCTGTGGTTGCTGGTAGAAAAAGAGCCTCAATATGCTGTCGGTTACTAAGGATTTTATGTGCTAGTTCAGAGCTCACAATACCTTGTTCTATGGCATCTGAAATTGGGAGAATCTCCCCAGATTCAGGCCATAGCAACCCCATGAATGACCAGAGGGATTCCAGAATCACAAGAGCGATCTTAGCAGCTACTAGATCACTGCTCACTGCTTCATCTATTGTCATTCTATGTCCTGTGACAGTGTCAATGATGCCTCCTGTCTGTAGCTGCCTTATGAGAATTGTACAGGCCATATCTCGGTCAATCAGATTATGTCTTACAGCCTCTTTCACTGTAAGCCTGTGTCCTGTTCTTGGATCTACTATGCCACCAGCAAAAAGCTGAGCTTCTAGCAGCCGGACAGTGACCTGTCTATCTATGAGCCCTTCCTGAACAGCACGGAAAATGCTAACCTTTCGGTTTGATTTCAAGCTCACCATTCCCCCTGCCAACTGCTTGACAGGCAGCAATTTCAACCCTGACTCTTGGTGGATAATGCATCTCTGCATCAGGTCTAGCAAACTGATTTTCTCTGCTGTGTTGGGGTCTATCAAATTCTTAGATAATCTCAAGTGAGACTCTAATACTGAATGAAGACAAGGAGAAATGAGGCCTTGATGAAAAGCATCTTCCAGGTTAATACAAGTCTCACTGGGGGAGAGACTGAAACCTCCAGTTGCCAGGTGAACTTCTAAGAATTTCAGTCCAACTCTCTCACTGATCATTCTCTTTTCAATTGCTTCCACCACAGAAAGAGGGCCTTTGTTTTCAGTAAGTCTACTTATTAAGGACCGGACAGCCTGTAGCTCCTGAAGCTGCTGGTACATAGGAGGACTAATGAGGTTTCTGGTGAGGCCCTCCTCCAAAGAGAGCTTTTCACTGGTCTCAGGGTCAATGAGGCCTGACATGATAACCTGGGATTCCAGAAGCACAAGGCCTGTGTCTTGATCAAGGAGGCCCTTTTGCATGGCTCTGAAGATGGGAAATATCTCCACTGTGCCTAGGTCAATCACTCCTGCAACTGCTCTGCAACCCTAAAAGAAAAATGAAGAAGAAAGCTGAATTAGAGTCTATGGTGAAATACAACTATTGAAAGAAGTCACTCAAAAAATTATAGTATAAAAATTCTGACCACAAGAAAAATCCAGCCTGGATAAGTTCCAACATGTAGAAAATATTCTGAAGCAAACCTGGCAGTGTTAATGCCAAAAAAATAAAATTTCTAATCTGCAGAAATGTTTAATAGGGTCAGAAGTTCACAGATTACTTGAAGGATGATGGATGGCATTAAGCACATCTGAATGACAAGCTCTACAAAATGGCAAGCAGTGAAAGTGAAAGGACAGCTATTTCTAAGACGAAAACATCAGAAAGGCTCTTACAGACACATACCAGTTCCCCAAAAGTGAAAATTCAACCTTACATAACAACTTCTCAGTGTTGAAACCTAGTCAGAAGACTCTGGAAACAGCACTTCTCTGCTGATGGGCACAGCAGGATGGGATGGTCCTCAGGATTAGAGATTTAAGCAGTCCAATAGCCACAAAAACAGTTTGCATCCCAGGAATGGGCCTATGTATGCTACTCAGGCAATTGGGACTGTCACACTCCTGGTGGCCAATTCTAGTTTTTCCAAAGGCAGTGGCTTTGAGGACTCAAAGTATTCTAGGACTCAAAGTAGCAAGTCAAGGAAATAACAGACTAGAGATTCTTGCCTCTCCAACCAACTTTTCTTCTGCTCCAGGCTAGAATGGGTAGTTTAATGACAATTGTGACAGCAATCAATTATTAGATTTACTGATCACTGATATTTAATCCTCAAAATAATTCTATGAAAACAATTGTTTTAATCTTTAGTTTGCAGATAAGAAAATAAGGCAGAGACAGGTTAGGTAACTTGTCCAAGATCACAAAACTAGTGAATTCCAAAAATAAACCAAGGTTGGACTCTAAATCTTGTGCTATTATATTGCTGAGTCAGTTAGCTCCAGGATCATAAAAAAAACTGAAGTCACATCTTACATAGGAAGTTGGTCCCAAGGATCAGTTAATAAGGCAAACCTTATATGGTCAAAATTACCCTTGCAAATTCTAGAAACAATTGCTAAAGAATTCTCATTTTGAAGCCTTTTATCACAGAAAGATAGTATTTAGATTTTAAATCACTTAAGAGATTAGACTTAGACCACTTTACTTCTATTACTTTCCAACTTTTCAGCTTATCTTGTTCATATTCATTATCTTCATTTTCTTTAAATGACTTTATTAGTTCCCTTTTTGGTCAGTGTTACTTTCTGGTCCTTACTTAACTCTTTATAATTTATCCACGGAGAATCTGTTGAAACAATTGCCAATCTTTCCCTGTTTCCTAAATAATGCATTTCATTTCTCAATGAGAAGTAAGTGCCATAAAAGCATACTTTACCTATTCAGTATATAAGAACACTACCTGCAGTTCAATAAATATTGCAGGAATAATGGATAAATAGTAAGGAAACCCTTAATACCATTAAGTCATTTTTCCACAGATTTCAAAAATGTTTGAGGATTTTAAGCTTGATAACAGCACATAGTCAAAAGTACAGAATGGATAGCAAATAGAGGAACAGTAGATTTGGTTCACTTCTTATTCACTGTAGGTGCTAAACTGACAGAATAACTAGTAGACTTGCTCACACTATTTAAAATATTACTTGTTATACTCCTCTTGCCTGTTTTTTTTCCTAGCTACAGGATTCAATTGGTGTAAATTAAAAATGTATGTTATGAAAGTGCAGCATGTGTCTATTTTATAGACAGACTATAGAAATGTCCACTGGCATATGAGTGTTCTGAGACACCTAAAAAATCCTTTTTAGAATATCTATGTAAAGCCTTTCCAGCAGCAAATAGTATGACAGAGGGAAAGATTATGTTGAGAACTTCTAATTTCTTCTATGAGATTCACGAAGCCCTAGAAATGCTGACATTGAAGACAGATCTGGAATCTAGACAAAAACAAAGGCCTACATAGTTCCTGCCAACAGCTTCATAACTGAGGATAAGCAGGCAGCACAGAGCTGAGAAGTAACCCAGAGAAATCTGTTTCAGTCCTACCAAACATGGACATTCTGACCTAAGACAGCATTAAAAAACAGAGGGAGAAGAGGAAAGAAAACATAAAAGGCTTCTACTTACCAGAGTTGCAGGGCACGCCTGGGGCAGATAAGAGATAGAGCCTTATGGAGCAGCTCAGCCGTATCACACACACAGTATAAGCTTGGTGTTAGCGTCCAGCATGCGACCGCTTTTTTTTTTTTTTTTTTTGCAAAAAAGAACCCCAAACAGGTCGTCCTCTTTTCCCTTTGTGCATTTGTGCTTAAACTCCAAAGGGTTAGTGAAACTTGTAAGCAAGGATGTCAGTTAATCAGAACAATACTTCACATGAAACGCACATAGAGTACAGGGGCACATCATGCTCAATGTAGTGGTGCTTGGCAGCTTCTCCTTCTTTCTTTCTCCTGCCCCCTCCCTGCTTTTTTAACCTTCCAAAATGAGAACAGGATGTTCTCAGCAAGCAATTGTTAAAACTTTTCATATACTCCCTTATATGGTGAAGCAACAAGCCATTACAAGTGGGCTACCTTATGTAGAAAACATTATACCAGAACATTGCTTTTGGAAATACACCATCAAATTAGAGTTGTATCCCTTTACAACTCTCCTCCTGATGTACAAATTTATACTCAAGGAGCAGACAGTCAAGGTATATTTTGTCTGAACATCATCTTGAACAAAATTTGATTTTCTCATGAGCTTAAATTTTAGCCTTCCTCACATAAATTGGCCATTGCTTCACAACATAGGAAATAAGCAGGCAAACACACATATATATTTCCCATAGACACATGTATATAATATGGTAAGTGTACACACACACGTAAGTATCCAGGAAGAACTTGGGACAACCAGCAGCAACTAGAAGAACTTTTACATGGTCCAGGAAATGAACATGGAGTGGAACTGGTAAAGATGCCATGTGATGGAATGACCACGGGTGGGGGGACCAGCGTCTCAGTCAGTGAAGTTAGTCTACCACTTTGCTTTGAATCAGAACATTTCTCACTGTTCATTGTAAAGAAGGAAGAGGTTTCACAGCTTTTCTTCCCAATATTCACAACTCTTAGCTATCAACTTTTGGGTGATAATGTCACAACGGAGTGATCTTAGTGCCCTGTGATCAAATACAATACAGAATTTATGTTCTCCTTGGCTGCTTTCAGCCACAAAATGGCAAAAGACAAAAAAGATGAACTAGGTCCAAAGGGTTTGCCATAAGTGCCCTCTGGTGTTTTTGACTGACTAACACATCATGGAACCCCAGTAAAGAAACGCAAGACAAATGGCTGCTAAGGTGAGGTTAAAAATTAAGTCACATTGGTCATGGAAAGCTAGTGATGGTGACTCTCAATCAGTAAAGCCATTTCACACCATTCAGAAGGTACCTTTCTTACATATGGAGAGACTTACCTTTTGTTCTGTCTGCTGAGCCAATTGGCTCTGCAGCTGCTGGAGCTGGTGTGCTGAGCCATCACAAAGGCCATGGTAGGCCTTGTGCAGAGCATTCAACTGCTCAGAAATCTGCATCTTCTCTTTTTCTGATAACCTGGAAGACGAAGCATTAAATTTTTTTGAGGAAAAAGCCATTCTCTAAACTCTCCTCTACTACTTCAAAATTGTTATTTCCTCACCTGGAATGGATTATCTGACCAGTCTTCTATATTCACTGACAACTTTGACATCTCACTCACACTGTCTTTCTCAAATCCATGATTACTCTTGGTAATGTCAATGCTAAGTTACCCTGTGCTTGCAGTGCTGCAACCTCCTCAATCCAAGGGATCTCCTCATCACCTCACCTCATCCACATGGCAAACCTGGATCCTGCCACCATCTGAAATTATTCTACTTCTGAAATTTTAGACTTCATTAGGCATTATATGATTATACTTTACCTTCCTACTTTATATTTCTCCACTCCTTCTATAGCTATTCTCTTTAAAATGAAATGTTTTAAACAGATTACAACAAACTCTCATTCACTCAGCCCTTTCTTTCTCCAGTTATTTTTCAGATAGTGTCTCATGCTTTTCTTTCCAAGCTAGTCTTAAACCAGAACCCTACTAACCTGTGCCTCCTGCACACCTGGGATTATAGCATGCATCATCATGCCTGGCTTGTTTGTTGAAATGGAATCTTACTTTTTGTCTGGGTCGGCTTCAAATCATGTTTCTCCTGATCTCTGAGTAGTTGCAATTACAAGTGTGAGCCAGCATGTTCGACCTACAATATTTTTTGTCTAGTTTTCTTTTTTTTTTTTTTTTTTTTTTTTGGTACTAGGGTTTGAACTCAGGGCTTACACCTTGAGCCACTCCTCTAGACATTTTTTGTAATGGATTTTTTCGAGATAAGGTCTCACAAAATACTTGCTTGGCCTGGCTTCAAACTGTGATTCTCCTGATCTCCGCCTCCTGAGTAGCTATGATTATAGGAGTGAGCCACCAGCACCTGGTTTTGTTTTGTTTTTTGAGACAAGATCTCATTATGTAGTTCAGGCTGGCCTGGAACTCACTAACTAGACTACACTGGCCTTGAATTCTTGCTTGAATTCCTGTTTTAGCCTTGCAAGTGATGAGATTACAGGCGTGTACCACCATGTATGGCTCAATTTTTACTATTTAACCATCTTTGCTATAGCTCTTTCACTAAGAAAAAACACATTACAGATATGAATAAACCTCACTGTGTATTTGTGCATAAAATTCATTCATTTCTGCATCTTCTCAGAGGTTGTTATCCCCTGAATCTAATGAGTCAGCAATTTGCTTTCTTTACTTCTACATTATTTCTGAGAATGAACTGTTAATTCACATTAGAACAATCCATCAACTCATTGAGATTCCCCAAGACTTTCTTGACTCTTCCATTTTCTCTTAATCTACAAGTCCTCCTCTTTATTATCATCACTTTCTTCTCATTAGAGTCCAGACCTCACAGTCCATCTTTATAATCAGTTCCTTACTATTATCCTCACACTGTCCACTCACTAATCTGGTGATCATTCAGACTACTGGTCCTCTCTGCTTCCACATTCATGCTCTAAATATACCCAGTGAGGGGAAAACAATCCACAACTATACAGAGAAAACCTACTGGTTTATAATCACTTGAGCCTCAACACTTGCTGACAATCTTCTTAGGGAGTTCCTAGCCAATCTCCTCTTCCTTCTCCCTCAGCACAATCTTAATCTTCTATTAAATCTCCCTGCCCATTAAAAAAAAAAAACACAGGCTACTGGACAATACTTGCCTCGCTTTCTGGCTTCACTCCTATCAAAATTATCTTTCTGTACACTTTTCCTAATCTCCTGTCCCTTATACCTCAGAGAAGAAGCTGCCTTCATTCCTGGCTAAGGTTATATTTTCTATCCATTAATTCTAACCTCTCCCATATCCTGGGACCTTTCTCCTATTATCTTCTTGGGGGAGAAATGACCCAAGCCTTGTATGCACATATGAATAATAAAACAAACAGAAAAAAAACAAAAAAAACTTCTCTCTTTTGACCTTGAGACTTAGTCTATAAACACAGTTAAATGTCTCCTACCTTCTAAGAAAATAAAACTTTCTTGATTATATACCATTCTTAATTATTTGCTATATTACCTCTTTCCTTTCTTATGGCCAAGAGTTTGAGAGTAGCCTAATGTCATTATCACCAACCTCCTCAACTCTCATTTGCTGCTCATCATGCTAAATCTGACATCATCCACCAACTTTCCACCAGTCACCAAAAAGTTCTAACTTGTCAAATTTAATAAATATTCATAAACTTTTCTTGACTTTGACCCCCTCTCTCCTCTTTGAAACTTTCTTGGTTGCAGGGGTATTATTCATCAAGGTTTACCTATTCCTTCTTTGAAGCTTCTTCACAAGCTGAGAGGACCTGAAAGTCTTTTTAGGTTAATGTATTCTTATGGTCTTGACTATGCTGATGACTCAAATCTCTGTTGCTTTAGACTCTGTCTTTAATTCTAAACCTATATAAGCAGCTTCCCATTGGGCACCTTTGGTGGAACTGTGTAAAACATAGAATAATGTAGTCAACACATTCTAATAAATACTTGGTATTTATCGTCTGATGTACTACAGATTTTTCATATTCAACAGTGTCTACAATTAAAGCTGCCCCTCTTCTTTTTTTTTTTTTTTCTTAGTGGTACCAGGGCTTGAACTCAGGGCCTCTCGCTTGCTAGGCTTCGCTAGGCAGGCGTTCTATCACTTGAGCCACTCAATCAGTCCTGCCCTCTTCTTAAACCCACACCTTTACCTATGTTTCCGATCTTGGTTAGTGGCATCATCATATATCCCATGACCCAAGCCCAAAGTTCAGGAGTTATATCTGATGACTTCCATGTTATCAAACCCATAGACTTAACATTATTAATATCTCTCTTAAATCTTTGTCTCATCATTTCTTGCCCTCGTTATCAGGACAGCCTCTTAACTGGCCTCTTATCTTCTATTCTTCCACATGATAATCCTTTCTTTACAGTTGTAGCAACCATAAGCAAAAATTTCTCCCATAGTTCACAAGGCAAAATGGAAACTCATTATGAACCACAAAGGCTCTTCATAATCTGGCTCTTTCTGCTATGAATTCCCCAGTCTGAGTTTCACCATGACCCTAAGATTCAGCCAGGTAGAGCAGGTCCTCTAAGAGTCCCACATTTAATACTCACTTATGACCATGCTTGGCCAAGAAGATCTGTGAAGTTTTAATGGCCTCAGAAACTTGTTCCTTCTTGGTTGTAAGCTCTTCTGCCAGAATCTATGTAGTAGATATACAGAGAAAGGCTTCAAAACCCAAGAATTAGAGACTAACATTATTTGAGGACTGGGGGAATGGCTCAAGTGATAGAGCACCTGCTTTATAAACATGAAGCCCTGTGTTCAAACCACAGTCCCACCAAACAAACAAACAAACAAACAAAAAAAGCATTACTTGAAATCAAAAATTTTAGGAAAAATATGGCTAGGTCAGATATTATTACCAATAGGCCACAAATGATCAAAAAGGTAGAAGAACAAACAAACAAATGACTTCTTAAGTTTCTTTAAGTCCTGGAAGTTAGTGTTTACTCAGGTAACAATTGTTTCTGGAAGGGCCCAAAGTTGATTTGCTCCTCTAATGTATTACTGCATATTATTCCACCTAAGTAGAGAGGGATGGACTTTCTACTCACCTGCTGTTCCAAAATAGCTTTTTCAATTTCTGTTGATTCTTTGGTATGAGATGGAGTTATTTTTCCTTGTGTATTTCTTGCAAGGGTAGACACCCAACCCAAAAGTTCTTTAACCTTCTCCACATGTTCTTGTTTTTCCTCTTCTACCACTTTCTAAAATAGGAAATAGAAAATCAGTACTCTGATCAATGTTTCATTAGACTGATGTGACTTTATGTTTCCACAAACAGACATGACGGTTACTGCCCTTTAAGAATAGCATTGTGAAAAAAAAAAAAAAAAAATGAAAGAATAAAAAAAAAAAAAGAATAGCATTGTGCACATTTTTATAATTCTTAGATTTACAGGTGAAGAGACTGAAGACATTATATGATTATGAGATTATATGATTACATGAGATTATATGAGGTAGGTTTTGACATAAGGGAAGTCTTGCTAATTTACATAGGTAAAAGATGGTATGGTTAATGTGTTCAACTGCATTCTGAGTGGTTGAATATTTAGAAACTTGCTGTACAAAGACACAGAAGATTTTTTATAATTACAAAAAGACTACGTTTATTACAACAAATTAAAAAAATCTGAAATGCATAATGCATGTACTCAATCTTGTTTCTTCAGAAGTTTGATACAGTGCTTCTAAACTTGTTTTTATCATGTTGTACTTGTGCTGGATATGAAGTCATTATTATACGTAGTATAATATAAATGATATTAGTATCTTTCCATGCCACTTAATTTAAAATGGTTTCATTATTTTTAAGTGTCATCACATTCCATTGTATACAATTTGGAGATTTCTAACATTTCCTTTTAACAAATCATATTTTATTGAGGATCTCTGTTCATGTACCTTTCTATAATAATGATATTTAAGGGTGGGAGTGACGGATGCAGTACAGTCATCGTCATTATTCACAGATTCCGTGTCTATACATTTGTGTACTCGCTAAAATTTATTTGTAGCTCCCAAATCCATGTAGTATTTTTGGTGCTTTTATGGTGATTTCCAACAATGCACAGAAGGGCAAAAAAATTTTAGTTGCCAAATATACATATAACCAGCTACGGTTTCAGTTGCCACACAGCAGACCAGTATACTTTTCAGTCTCTTCAGTGCTATGTTTTTCACATTTGTGCTTTTGTTGATGATTTCACTATTTAAAATGGCTTTAAGCTACACTTTCTAAGCACAATGTTATGGTATGCCTTATGGGAAAAACATACTTTTTTGATAAGGTTTGTGCAGACCTAAGAGTTACAGTGGCTATGAATTTAATGTTAGTGAACCAATAATATACCTATATTAAAGCATCTTCAAACACACACATAAAACAAAGTTATGGTGACTGATGGAGTGGCTCAAGAAGCAGAACACCTGCCTAGCAAGCATGTTGCTATGAGTTCAAACCCCAGTACCAAAAAAAAAAAAAAAAGTTATGTATTGACCTATTGACAAAATTAGTACCAGAGCGCTTGTAAGAGGCTAACCCTGCATTCTCTCTAGGACACTGGTTCAGTATCCACTATCCAGCAATTTTTTTTTTAGAACATGACATTTGTAAATAACTAAAATCAACTGTGCGTGAACTTTTAAGTTTTGATAGATGAAGCACAGGAATTTATTTGTGGTGCTGGAGATTATACATGCTAGCCACATATTCTACCACTGAGTTACATCTCAGCCTGAGGCATAGAATTTTTAATTGTACTTTCAAGATGATTTAGGACCCAACTATCCTCACCTCCTCCTCCTCTAAGCGCCGGAGTGCATCACTGATGTATTTCACATGCTGAGTTGTTAAGGTCACCAATGCTGTGTAGCGAGTCCTTAAGTCCATGAACTATAGTTCAAAAGAAGAATTTAGATGAGTTATCTGCTAGAAAAGTAAATTTCAATAGCTGAAAATAAGGAAATTTTTATAGAGTCACATACTCAACAGAAGGTGAGCCCTAAATCAAACTGCAAGGCCTATACAAACACGTTTTCATAAGGGAAGGCAGTGGTATCCGTCCTTTCCCCACCCCTTCACCTCTTGTGTGATGGCATCTGAAGAGGAAAGCATGCGCCGGCGCTTGCCAGGGGACTTCCGCTGTGATTCTACAAAGGCCTTGTACGTCATCAACTGCAATTCGTAGTCCTGAGAGGGGAAGAAATTTCACTACATTTACTTAGGGCTTTATAGTTCATAAACATCATACACATTATGTGACAGAATCATAGCATTTTATTGCTGAAAGATGTTCTGGTGTTCATTCAGACCAGAGATTAGCAAACCTTTCCTAAAGTACCAGACAGAAAATACTGGGTCATGCTAACTGTCAGAACCTCTAACTGCCTTTTGTCAGAGAAGGTAGCCATAGACAACAAGTAAATGAAAGAATGTGGCTGTGTTACAATAAACTTCTACTTATGGACCCTGAAAGTTGACATTTATATCATTTTAAATGTATCATGATACATTGAAATCTTTTTGATTTTTTTTTCGCCATTTCTTATAGGCCATACAAAAACCAGTTTATGTCCTGGATTTAGCCTGTATGTCATAGCTTGCTGACTCCTGAATTTGCAGATTGTGGCTTGCTAACCAACCTTTTCATCTCATTCATGGGAAAACTGAAGACCAAAGACTGAAGACTTAGTAGCAGATTAGATTGGAATCTGTCTTCTAATCACTAAACTAATGCTTTTCTCAATTAACCATGCTGCCCTACTCCAGGCCCTCTTCATCCCTCACATGGACAGGAGCAGCAGCTGATTACTTACTTTCATTGTTTCTAATCTCACCTCCAACTTATTCTGTGTCCTGATACCAAAATGTCTTCTCTAAAACACAAACATGACCACACTATTCTTCTAATTAAAAGCTTTCAATGAAGTACAGTTTTTCAAGTATCAACATGCATAAAAATTATCTGAGGACAATATTAAAATATAGATTCAGTAGATCTGAGAGTCTGCATTTCTGATAATCTCCCATGTGATATTGATGCTATTAGCTCAAAGATAGTATTTTGAGGAGCAAGAATAGAAGATAAAGCCAAAGTAGTTGAATAGGGCATTTCTTAGGTGGGCCAAAACCTCCCTGTTCATTTTCTATAGGCACTGCTTCTCATGTACGATATATTTTCATTTTCTTTCTTTTTTTTCCCCCCTTGAGGCAGTGTCTTGCTACGTACCCCAAGCTGGCCTCAAACTCATGATCCTACTGTCTCAAGTTCCCAACTGCGGGGATTACAAATGTGCAACACCACAGCCAGCTTTCCTTTTTTTTCCCTTGCAGTACTGGGGATTAAACCCAGGGCCTCTCTAGGTAAGTGCACCAGAATACTTGGTATTTCCTCATATGATGATGTATTTTCATTTTTCTATGCCACTGATTATGGAGTTCCTTTGCTAGAAGTCCTGCTCTGTTATGTACTTAGAAAATTACTAGGCAAATAAACAAAACACCACAGAATGCAGGTCTTTAAGTAAACCCATAAAAACAATAGTAGCAGGACTGGGGCATGGCTCAAGTGATAGATGCCTGCCTAGCAAGCAACAAGGGTCTGAGAGGAGAGGAAAAGGAGGGGTGGGAAAGGAAGGGAACAGAAGTATTAATAGTAAAAGCAATTACTCTATTTACTGAATGTAATTTTGAAGCTTATCCGATCCTTAATCTTCATAATCACTCAGTGAGGTAGTTACTGTTTCATTTTATATATATATA